AAAAATAAAAAAAAAAAAAAAAAAAAAAAAAAAAAATTAGATAATCAAAAACGTAAACCATCATAATAAATGGAAACAATTATAAAATTCTAATAATTAAATAAATCAATTATAAAAGAATAGTTAGCTTCAAGCTGAAAACATACAAAAATCAAAAAATAAAAAGAGAAAAATTTAATAATGTAAGATATTATAATATATAAACCTTGTATATACTCCACACATCAATCAATGTAATATAAGATATTATCAATGGTGGAGTACATATACATTTCAATGATAATAGAAACATATTTCAAATATGTGAATGAAACAAAGAGCACGTTTCTGGTTAGCTGTCAACTGCTGTATATAAATTTATATATAGTAAATGTTATTGTTTTATTTGCTTTGATTATAATAATGATAATGATAATGATGATAAATACGTGCCTGTAGCTGTAATTTGAAAGAATGTGGAACATTAGAAGAGAGTTAATAGACATTCGTTGATCTACAATTTAGTCAATAATATTATGTAAACACACACACACTCACATACATACACACACAATTATTTAGGAAGGCAACATGTTAAAGCTAAACGAAGAGCGCAAAAATAATGTAGATCAAATATTTGTTTTTTTTTTTTTTTTCTTTTTACAATTATGTTTTGTTTTGTTATTTGTCGCATAGTTTGAATGGAATTGAATATATTTTTATTTGATTTGTTAAGTTGCTCGATTTGTTAAGTTTTGTTTTCTGATAAAGCAACACAAAAAAGAAAATCAATAGTATATAAAGATTTATATTTGCACATTTTTTGCGCTAAAATAACTGTTAATTAATATTATTTCTAATTCAACTAGTAGATATAATTTATTATCTATTATTGTGAAAGTGGCAACATAATGCAACACATATACATATACATAATATATATATATATTCATAAAAAAGCTTGAATTTGAAATTTCAATTTAAATGTCGTACGTATCGATATTAATCGCATTATCAAAGCGCGCTGTGCCTCGGAAGTGTTGCACATTGTGGTTCCTTTGAATAAGTAGATGTTCAATTCTCACTTGGATGTACTTATCGTTTGCTCAGGTCGTTCGTTCTTCTAAAACCACTATCGATCTCCCCTGCTGAGTGAGTCAAATGAACCACTTCATTAGCAACAACTCTGTTGCGTCGAGTATACAAGCAACAACAAACAACAGTAAGCGACTAGCCGGCGCTGCGTATTTGGTTTATGTGTGTTTGTGTGTGTATATGAAAGATAAGGCTCTGTGCCTACAGCCAACCATCTACTGCGTAGATAAGCGACTGAATTTCAATTGGTTGAAATATGCGAGGATTGTGTTAAAGTAACAAGTAAAATGGCGAGCGCGTGATTTACGTGCACTTAGCTAACCCTCACGTGCATGGCAAATATAGCAAGTTGAAGGCAGCAATAACATTAGCATCGATAGCAAAAACAACAAACAGCTGACAATGCCGCCATTGCTGTCATAGCTCACACACTCGCTACGACTGCTCTACACGCGGTCTCGGTTTCGGTATCGGTTTTGACCCATTCGCAAGCTTCGCGTGAGCTTTCGCTAGCAGTTTCGCTTTAATGTTGGCCTTAATTTAGTTGGTGCGCGTATTCAGACCCTCACAGTTGTTACCGTTGCATATGGAACACGCAAACGTGCAACAGCAACACGACGAATGACTATATAAACCAATAAGAACAAAATATTGTTGAATTTTGTTTTTTTCTAAGGTATGAACTAAATTGTGTTATCTACTGTTTTTTTTAATCGTTCTGTGGCCTTAACAGTTTTGACGTTCTTACCTAAAGCTAAAGTAATCGGAATTCTAAAAGTTGCTACAGAAACTGTGCTTAATATATAAATACATGAAATTTTATGTACATAAATATCCATTATACTATGTACATATGTATGTACATACACACATGTAGCTACATATGTTCTTAGAAATGCTGTTTGAGCAAACACATACATATGTATGTATATACATATACATAAAATTGAAAATAGAGCATCCAAATGGCATAAATATGCAGATAAATATAAATAAATAGAGAAATTGAAAAAGCGGCGAAATAGACAACGGGCAAATTGTTTCTACCCATATTGTGTGGGTGTGTATATAAATATACATACACACACATACATACAAATGTATAAATGCGTCATATAAGGATCTCTGTCCGTGTCCGGTAGAGTAACGCACGCAATGATTATATAACCGTATCCATGAAAGTATTGCGAGTGTTTTTGTAGGAGTGAGGTAGACGGCATAGAAAACAATTCTAGTTCCAAAAAAAAAAAAACTAATGATTTTTTTGTTGATGATTTTGCACTTTTTCCCAATTGTCGCCGCACTTCTTGCTTGCTTAATTCACCTCACGTTACCTCTTCTTCGATACTGCTATTGCTCTCATCTCACAATAATTAAATAAAATGAAATCTGTGTGCGATTGAAACCCGCTAAGTTTGATATTATTTGATTGCGATGACTGCGGCGAATGCGTCTCGTCTCGTCTGGTGTGCGTTTAGCGTAACGCTAATAAATTAAAAGAAGCAATCACATATTCGCCGCGGCCGCTACCCTGCATGTGTTGCTCCGAGAGCGAGAGGCGTTGTGTTTATATTGTTTGTAGGGGGAGTACAGGGGTCAGTAGGGTTTGCCTGCACGTTTTTTAATTAACACCAATTAGTGCTCGGCATTTGTCATTGTCGTAGTCAACACTTGTGGCGCATTTTAATTTAAATTAAAGAACGGCCAGACAAATATAAGCAATGCAAAATCAAGGCCCCCCAATCAGAGTTGCCGCCCTCCATTGGCCTCTTTCGCCGTGATTAGGCAGCAGAGCCAGCGTGACGTCACATAGCAGAACAAAGTTCAGCGTAGGCGAAACTCTTATGTAAGCGAGCGCAGGATGAATGGCCGCTCTCCTGACTGCCGAACTGTCTGACTGCCTGAGTGCCTGGCTGGCCTGTCGGCAAACTCGTGTGGCTACGCTCGTGCGTTTGTTGGTTCGGGTCGTTGCGCCTTCGGTAGCAATTTCGCCGTTGCCGTCTTGACAGTCGGAATTGTGCTTTTGCCGTGGACGAACGTTTATTCGTACATATATAGCGTGGAGCAGAAGAGCGAAGAAAGAAAAAAATAGAATCAGAGCAACACGGGAAAATAAAATAAAAATTAATAAGGCAGGTACACAACGGAAAAACGACATAACGTCAGTAATTCAAGTAGAAGCTGAACAACTAAAATTTAAAATTTGTAATTTAATTTTGTGCACATTGTTAAGTTTTCGTGTGCGGCGTGCGTGTGTGTGTGTACGCCTGTTTGCCTGTGTGAGCAATAGCTATGTCAAATTTATACATACCTATGTGTTTTGTTTTCGCTCTAACCTTTTCTCTCTCTCTCTCTCTCTTTCCGCTCTCTATCGTGCGCTCTCAATTGCTTTTTCTTCCCTTTTTTTTTGCAATTATTGTATAACATATAATGGACAGCTTCTTACAGAGAGGAAGAAAGCTCCAAATCAACAGAAAGTACTGCGCACGCTAAGGCAAAGGCAAAGGCAAACGCAAACGCAAACGCAAGTAAAACAACAAATTCAAAATCAGCTGAGAAACTGATGCAGACACAGCAGCAGCGGCAGCATAAAGAGTAAGAATAGCGAAACGTGCGTTCAAATTGGCATAAAGTGTACTACAAATCAAGGCGAAAAATAAACTACGAAAAGCAGCGATTGCCCGCCTCGTTTGCTCTCTCGACTCAACCCATCACTATCTGTCGCACACACACAAGGAGTTGTAACCCATCAGCTTAAGAGCCCAAAGGCAACTAATTCGCTCTGTAATGGCGCAACTTCGTTCCCTCAACCCCTCACGTACAACGATTCAGCTCGCTTACTATTGCCGCAGCGCTGGCAGCGTCTGTAGCGGCAGCCGTAATGGTCCTTTGGGGAGTGTAACCGAACTTTATAGTCGTAACAACAAGAACAAGAACAACCACGGTACATTTAGTCAGAAAAGAAGTTTACATACGATATGCGCCGGCGCCAACGTCAACTCCAACGGCAGCAAAAATGCTATGCTGCGCTGGCAGAATCCTTTCCTGAGCGACGTTCGTTGCCTGCACTCGGCCGCGCAGGACAAGCAGGCGCAGGTGTCAGTTGCCGATAGGACGCAGCACGTCCAATCAAAGGAGGAGGGCGTCAAGCCACAGCGTGACCCGCTCGACGTCAGCTTTAACGATCCAATTGCGGCATTTAAGAGCAAAACAACATGGGAGCTGGCCCGCGCATATTTGGTCTACATGATCTGCAGCAGCGAGAAGATCGTTGAGTATAATATGACGGTAAGTGGAACGCAATCAAAACTTTTCTTTATATATATTTTTTTTATTTAAGTATATTATTTATTTTTCTACATTTTCTTCACTCTGGTCTGTTCTTAGTATTTTTTATCCCCATAATTTGTCCTAGTTTCTTTCTTTGATTGTTTCAGAGTCCCATTGCTTGGCTTGTATGAAATATATTTTCCATTTATTGTATATATTCCAATAAGAATGTTTCCATCTTCAAGATATTCTTATTTAGAGTGGCTTAACTGTAATCCTCTCTTCTTGTGTTTTCACACAACGAGTGCTCCTTGTGTTCATTGAAGTGTATGACAGCTGCATAAAACTCTCTTCGCTCTGAAATGTAGCACAGTTAAGTCATAGCCTGAGCTGAGTTAACTGCATATTCTCTCAGCATTTTCGCTCTGATCAACAACAACAACAACAACAACAACTACAACTAGCTCCCAAGCTTTAGTTATGCTCATTAGCTAGGCTATTAGCAGATACTATACCTCGCTCACATTCAGTTTTTATTCACATTTTTCAATTCCCTCTCCCTGCGCGCGGCTATCTTTCTCTCTCTCTCTCTCTGCGCTGTTTTGTTAATCTATTTCGGTATTGCCATTTGTCATACCTGCTGAGCCAACTGCCATGTCTTCCGGCCTGCTCTCACCCTCCTGCTCTATCTTTGTCTCCTCGCTGTTTGTTTTATGGCTTTTCAGTGATATTGCAGTATTTCGTATGAATGCAGCTCTAATTGCCGTCTCAATTGGCCTGTGTGGGTGCCTGGATATTTGGCTGTGCGAAGGGGGGGCACAGCGTGTGTAAATGAATATTTAGTGTGACTCAACGAGCGCGCAAATCAAATGCATTTTTATGACCTTGTTGGGGGCCGCTGCTGTTTACTACGCGACCAGCCAACCAGACGCCAGTTGCGTCAGTCAGTTCGCCGGTCAGTCGGCCGGTCACATACACACACACACACACACGCATTCATAAATCTGTGCATGTGTATGTAAAAACTTAACAGGCAGGCCCCCAAAAGTGCGCCAATCAAAAGAGCCAAAGCGACGCGTTAGTTGCTGCAGGCGGCGCTGCTACGCCAGACGCCTTGTCGTTACTGTTTACTGTTATACATATGCACATATGCATATGCATGTGTGAGTTTGTGTTTTTTCGCTAGTAAATTCTGCAAATACATTTGCCTATCGATTATTTATAAATTGTATAATATGCGGTTTGATCGATTAAATGGAAAATTTATTAATATGAATTCTAGGAATTGTGGCGCTGTGTGTGCACGTGCATATGTATGTATGAAAGTGTCTGTGTGATGTGTATGTGCCTCTGTGTGTATACATATATGTATGTGTGTATATTTGTTGGCAACTTAATAGTCATGGTAATTGCTTTTCGTTGATTTTTGCTTTTGTCTTGTTTTTTTGATTTTGATGTGTGCTATTTCTATTTTTATTTCTCATGTCTGTGGGCAATATGTTTGGCAGGTCTCGTGACATGGTAGTGTCACAGCTCAAAAGTGAACACCTGTGCTAGCTGTTCACTAAGCACACAAAAAAAAAAAAAGAGTGCTAAGAGCAGCACTGCCAATTTTTATATAACCGGTTTTTCAAAAGTACTCGCACACACATACACAACAAACACAGGCAGACACACATGGAGGGAAGCTTATTGCTGTTTAATTTGGCTACGTCCTCTCTTTCCCTTTCCTCGCTGATAGCATTTTTGAGGGTTAACCGGTTCGCTCAGTTCATCACACGTGCCTGTCAAAATTAAAAGCTTCGACATTTTTTTTGTAACTTGTACTTTTTTCGGTGCTGTTTTACGAGCTTTAACGTCGGCAGCTGTCTGACGTTCAGCAATTGAATTACTGCAGAAAGCGCTCACATACATACATACATATGTATGTACATACATAGCTCAGCGAGCAAGCTTGAAGCTACCTAAGTACCTTCCTTCTCCCGTTCTCTTTCTCTCCTGCCTCTTCTCTTTCGATATTCGCCGTAAAAGTTCGTTCGCATTGTGCTGTGTCACGACACTTGGCCTTGACACGATCCATTTGTCATTGTTGTTGTTGGTTTTGATATTTATTTGACGTTCTACTGCTCTGGCGCTCTCTCTGAGGCTGCTCTCTTGCATGTGCCTTTGGCGGCATTCCAAATGATTTATGTCGCGTGAGAGTAAGAGAGCGATGATTTGAATTTCAGCTGTCCCGATCTTTGGCCAAATGACGCACATATATGTATGTACATATGTATGTGCGAGTGAGTGAGCTGTTGTTTTATATTTTGCATTTTGAAAATATTAGTTCTATTTGATATGTGATATTTTTCTTGCTTTTGCGACTTTCCCTATCTACCCCCCGTCCCCCTGCTTTTTTTATTATTTTATTTTATTCTAAAAACCAATATCTGTATATACAGAAGAAGAAAATAAAGAAATATACATATACATATATATATGTGCATATATTTATATCAATATATAAAAACGAAAACAAATCTTTAAAATTTCGTCTAAAACAAAAACAAACAAAAAAACAAAAATATCGCAGCTTATGAAATGGACAAACAAACTGTTGGGTAAAAAAATATTTACAGCATTGATGAAGGCAACATTCTATGGCCATTTTGTCGCTGGCGAGGATCAGATCAAGATTATACCCACCTTGGAAAGGTAATTGTATAACAATTATGGAACCCACTAACGTCATATTTTTCTCTTTTTTCTTTTCTTTTCTTTTCTTTTCTTTTCTTTTCTTTTTCTTCCACTATACCTTTGCTTTGCTGTTGGGCTATGCGAAAAACAATCTAAATCTAAACAAAAATACGCTTATTCAATTACAATCAATACTATTTGATGGCTATCGATTATTTCAACCGCTAAACCATATGCTACGCATGTTTCCTTTTTACTGTTCTCGACCAACTTAACCGTTAAACGGTGTATTACGCTTTTTACTTATCAAAACAACCTAACTATACTGTAATCGATCCCTATTATAATATGATCGATAACTATAAACAATTAACGACGCGTTTATCTATTATAAAACAATCGATTTAATCGTACTACTTTATCGAAACAATCAACAACACATTTAAATTAATCGTTAATTTGCGCTGTGCCTTCTAACGTTTAAACAAAAATCGATATGTCGATAACCATGTGCGATAACTTTTGTGTGCTACATACCGCACCCTATCAAAAATAATGTGTAAAATCGAAATGCGTTTATCGATATCCACGACCACTAAACGATCAACCGAAAAAATTCTTTTACTGTAATGCTATCGGTTCATATAACTATACGTTTGGCCTTTCAATAACAATCGAATTAAACGCTATGCTCTAATCGATAACGACAACCGATAAACGGTTAAAATGTATAGCTCCTAAAAGTCGCGCGTAGCGTGCTGGGCAGCAAACTGTTTGTGATGCTGATGAAGTCGACTTTCTACGGACACTTTGTGGCCGGCGAGAATCGCCACACCATTGTTCCCACCCTTGAGAGGTGCTAAAATCGTATTACTTTATTCATATTATCGATAACGATAACGACATCTCTTAACAAATGCCATTCGAACTAAGAAAATTGCAGACAAACCCAAGCACTACTATAAACGCCAAATGAACTAATCAACTAATGCGTCATTTTTCCTGGCATGCTGCATGTGGCATACTGCCTTGCCACGCCCTCCCCACTCACACCGACACAAATGTGCTTTACACCTGCCCGAAAAACATGCCCATTTTCTGTTATTTCTTGCTCTGTTACAAGCCGCAATTCTAATGCTCTTTCTATATTTGACTTTTTTGTCTTTGCTCTAAACTAATTTGCTGCGCGCAGACTTCGCTCATTTGGCGTTAAGCCCATCCTTGATTATTCCGTCGAAGAGGACATCTCCCAGGAGGAGGCCGAGAAGCGTGAAGTTGAGTACGTTGAACCATTACAACCATAAACGAAGAGAGCTCCGCTCACATCTTGTATCCCAATCGATTGCAGATCTTCCGTTTCGAGCGCGGGTGATAATGAAAAGGATGCTGGCGCCCTGCCCCAATATCATGTGGATAAATCTTTCGCTGATCGTCGCTACAAGGTGAGCAGTGCTCGCACCTATTTCTATCTGAACGAAGCGACCTGCGAGCGTAACATGGAGATCTTCATCAAGTGTCTGGAGGCTGTGTCGGGTAAGCTCGAACCTCTCTAAAAAGCCATATCAGTAGAAGCAAGAGTCTTTTAAGTGCATGTGCTGTACCATCCAATTTTGCCACCTAGTGTTATCGACTTAAATTTTCATCATTTAATCATCACTTTTTCTCATTGGCTTATCACATTACACTTATTATTGGACTAGAAGTTAGATGGATTACCTGTTACCTGTTTGACTACTAGCATATTATTTGGGCCTATTGAAATTTCAAGGTTGTTATTTTGGTCTGTAGCATATGCCTTATTTAGAAAGTTAAGGATATTAGGTAATAATTGTTTCATTTCCAATGTTCCCCCTTGAGGTAGTTTTCGTTTTATGGATTTCCTAATAAATTACACACAGATGTCTCATTCCCCTCTGTGATTAGACATACAGATAACGCTTAAAGCAGGTATTAAATAAATGTTTCATTCCGGTATTCCCTTATCTGATCTCAATTAGCCAGACAACTTACAGTCTCCATTCCATTCATTGCACGGTGTTAAGGTCAGAGTTGAATAAACGGACTTTACAATAATATGATAATATTTATGAATTGATATAAATTCCGAATTCCGAATATTTTAGTTAAATTATAATCGTCACGGAAACGTGAAAAACCGGGAATGAGTCAGGGCAGAACAAACCTGAATTAAAAAGGCGAATTCCTTTTTTGTTGATCAACTGGTGTTCAGAATTTGCTTATCAGCTAATAGCCAATTACTCAGAGAGGGGAGATTTTTATTTGTTTTTATAAAGTATATACATAGTATAGACCATGTTTATTTTGATCTCTCCATAATATGCTTTATTTATGTTTATTTAATTTTCCCTCTAGCTGACTTTTTTCTTTTGTATAATTGCAAAAACTGTAATTATTAAATTTTGATTTTGCATTTTTCTTTCTCACTTGAAAATAACGTGAACAAAAAACAAAATGAATAAATTAATCAAAACAAACCGAAACGAAATGAAATGAAACGGCGCCCCACTAACGCATTCTCTATGTCAAAATCGATTAACACGAAACGAAACGAATGGAATTCGAACTAACCTATGAAAAAATCAATGCGTTAACCTAACGAAACGGTGTGGAATTCAAACTAACCTATTTAAAATCATGTGTATGTGTGTATATATATAAATGTGTGTGTGTGTGTGTGTGCGTGGGGCAGATGACGATGCAAAAGAGCCGCGTCCTGTCTCCGACGGTAAGAGGTCTTAACTAGCATTTCAGACTAAAACGATAATAAACAAATTCGCAAAACACAAAAAAAATAATAATAAATAAATACTTGAAATCTCGAAACTTGAAACCAAAATCACGTATTTAATGTTTGGAATTTGCTTTGTTTGTTATCTTTAGTTTGCTTTTGTTTATATTCGTTTTATGTTGCGTGTATTTTGTAAACATTGTATGTATGTATGTATGTGTGTGTGTCGTAATCCACGTGTCTATGTGTGTAGTGTATCAATTGCATGTAGTTACGGCTGATTGCCAGAGTGTGTCACGCCTTTAGTCGTATCAACTCAGCTCACCTTCCACTCGCTCACTCACTCACCTTTCGAATGCTTCTCATTTCCGAACCAAATACGCAACAGGCGCCACCTTCGGAACCGGCATCACCGCCATCAAGCTAACTGCCCTCGGCCGTCCCCAGCTGCTGGTGAGTGTTTACATACATACACATATATATGTATATATATATATGTATATATACATGTCATCTAATTGCTAGCTCTATAACTAATTGCATTTTTTCATTTAGTTGCAACTGTCGGAGGTCATAATGCGCACACGTAAATATATGGAGGCACTTGTCGGCGGTCAGGGCAATGTGTTGACCCATCATAAGACCATCAAGGATCTCGAGAAGTATTATGCCAGCGTCGGCGACAACAAGGATGTGCAGCAATTCTTGAAGAATGTCACGTCCGACAAGGAGGGGTGCGTCAACTACTAACTAACTATGCTAGCTACTCGCTTCTGCCTTCTGGCTCTGTATTGCAATGAAAATCGATACGGAATTCACAGCTTTTAGTTTAGTGAAATATTAGTATAGTTTAAGTAGTGTGCGACCTTAATTGTAGCATATTTGGTCAGGGCGTTGTGAACCCATCAAAAATGGGTATTCAGGATGAGTCGAAAGCTTAATTTTAAGTGTTGTATAATGATATATATTGATAAGTCAAGCCAATCAGTTTGCTGTTTTAGGCATAAGTTGTATTTTGGATACCTCGCCCACAACAAAAAGAAAAACGTAGAATAATAGGTAGAGCAGCTCTTTCATTGAGCTCAGAGTATCTTCAAGTCACTCTTGCTTTAGGTTTTCTACTTACGATATAACTAAATGCTCATCTATATCTATCTTCGGCTCCTATAGCATATTGCATCTGTTCCCCTGGTCTGGTATTGTCGATGAGGACTCACAGCTGAGCGACACATTTCGCGTGCCCGATCCACTGACTGGTCAAATGCGTCGATTGATCTCACAAATATCGCCCAAAGAGGAGGAGATGTTTAGAAACATGATTCGTCGTCTAAACACAATTGTAAAGGTGTGTTGACTACTATAACAAATATATTGTAATAGATGTGAATTGTAATTCCTTATCGGATTCCATAGACTGCCGCTGAGCTGGATGTGCGCATTATGGTTGATGCGGAGCAAACATATTTCCAGCCAGCTATAACGCGCATCACTCTGGAGATGATGCGTAAGTACAACAAGGACAAGGCCATAGTATTCAATACCTATCAATGTTACTTGCGTGAGACATTCCGTGAGGTATGAAGAAGAAGAGGAACGCCACAGTTTAAGTTGCCATGATACTAAGCTTTCCATATTGCAGGTGGTCACAGATTTGGAGCAGGCAAGTCGACAGAATTTCTATTTCGGTGCCAAGCTGGTGCGTGGCGCTTATATGGAACAGGAACGCGCGCGCGCACAGGCGCTGGGCTATGCTGATCCCGTGAACCCCAGCTACGAGGCCACTACCGAAATGTACCACAAGACCCTGGCGGAGTGTCTCCGACGCATAAAGGTATGAGTCTATATTGGCTTGGCTTTGACTTCAATTCGATTTAAATGTCATCTTTTACGCTTTCTGCAGGTTCTGAAGGATTGTGGTCAGGATGCACGCAAAATTGGCATTATGGTTGCGTCCCACAACGAGGATACGGTTCGCTTTGCCATCGAGAATATGAAATCCATCGGCATCTCGCCAGAGGATAAGGTCATATGTTTTGGTCAATTACTGGGCATGTGTGATTACATTACCTTCCCGCTGGGTAAATATATGAATAGTGTGATTTTGGTCATCTCACGATGTTTAACACTTGCCCCCATTCATTTGGCCAACAGGTCAGGCAGGCTATTCGGCCTACAAGTACATACCGTATGGACCCGTTGAGGAGGTGCTGCCATATTTGTCGCGTCGTGCCCAAGAGAACAAAGGTGTGCTGAAGAAGATCAAGAAGGAGAAACGATTGCTTCTCAGTGAAATACGTCGCCGCCTATTCCGCGGCCAGCTCTTCTATACGCCGAAGGGCAACTATGTACCCATCTAAAGTGGATGCACCGACAGATGAAGACACGCCATCCATTTATTTATGTAAATATATATACATATGTATATATGTATGTATGTATGTATGTATGTAGGCATATGTATGTATGTAGGTATACATATATATATATTTATATATATATATAGATATATATTGTGTAGAGCATTACAACTGACTATATCGACGATAAACCGACACATACACACACACACACACACACACACACACACGTACCCACACCACATACAGACACCCACAGAACACCACAGAAACCCACACAGACACCCACACAGATATTCAACAGAAACCGAGTAGTTTAATTTCTTTTAAATTGTTCGTTTTTATTCTGAATGTTCTCTCGTTAGGTCACTCGTAACATATACAAATCGAAATATATATATTTATAAATATATATACATATATATATATATATATATATATATATATATATATATATATGTGTGTGAATATGTATATATATATATATACATATATATACATGGCTTCATGGGAGTATATGCGAAAAGCAAAAGAGAAAAATCTATGAAATGTGAAGGTTTACAAATTTTATATACATGTTTTTAGCGCATATATATATATATATGTATATGTATATATGTTTATGTATGTGCATAAATATGCGTATGTAAAAGTGTATATGCATATATGTATATGTGTTTGTATACGCGTATGTATATATTTACAGGAGGAAAGAAACCTAAAAAGCTCATATGAAAAGTAAAGGAAAGCGATTTGCATATTATATATATATATATATATATGTATACATATATGTATATCCATATATATTTGAAAATTGTCATTTAAATATTTGTATGTCTTGTTGTAACATTTATCAAGTTATGCGTGTGTTAAAATAAAATATATTTAAAAAAAAAGAAAAGAAAATGTAATAAAAAGCCGTAAACCAAACAAACTAAGAACGTAAAATTTATCTAGAGCGTATTACAAAACAAATACATATATGAAATGAAAATCACTTAAGTAAAAAGTTAAAGCAAAACAATACATATACATGCATATACATGTGTGTATGTATGTATATATGTGGCTGCATTTTAGACTAGTTTCTCGTTAAATTCTAATTCAATTTGTCCTCGATATTGTGTGATCTTATATATTTGTTTCCTTAAGTTTAATTTAGATATATAAATATATATATTTCACCTTTATATATACATATACATATATGTTTGCAAACCAGGAATTAATCGAAATCGAGCTAAACGAAAATACTATAATTATGCTTAATTTATTTGTAACTTTTATTCAACATGATAGAAATTTATATATAGTATATATATAGGAGCTATATGTATACCTTCCTCCTGCCCGGCACTGCTTCATACACACACACACACACACACACACACACACACACACACACACACATACGCACATAACTAGTTCTGTTATCAGTGTGCCTATCGTTTATCGATCACTATTTAGCTGAATGTTATTGCGCCTAATCTCTCGAAAACGTGCACATTTTAAATTATTATATATTCAATAGACATTCATCGATTTATACTATATACAATGTCACGCAGCATGATATATGAGGTATTTCATTCAATATAGCATACGACAAAGCAGAATTGCATAAACATATGTAAGAAATGAGAAATTAATAAAAATAAATCCACAAAGTCAATAATGTATGAATGTTAACTATTTCAATGACAATAATAAAATGTTAAAACCAAATCAATTGCTGTTTGCAATTTATTGCGAGGGTCGCCTAACGAACATCTATGGATGGATCTAGTGATCCAGTCGAACATTTTCCGGTTTGCCTTCAAAATAGTCATTTTATTTTTTGGGTCACCCTAAAGCTATTCTACTTTAATGCATGTACTCTTGTCACTGATTGGAAAGAGACAGATGTTGTATTTGATTCTGTTATACTATATAACAGTTTCAATGGTTTACTGGGAAGATATCAACAGGTATCTGGGTATCCCAGAGATCAGTGAACACAGTAGACAAAGTATGTGATGAAGGATGAATGGCTTCAGATTCCATATCAAGAAAGATAACATTATACAATAACAGCAAACATTTCTACACAGTTTAAAATGTACTTGAATGCACTTGTATTTAGTTTAAATATATATACATATTGTATAACTAAATTTCTAATTTATATGCTCCATAGATCGCATAGCAAAAGTAACGCTTATGCACTACACAGAGGTATTTTTAGGGCTAAAAACAAAACAGACTAATCTATATTAAAACGCTTTCTTTCGCTTCGGCACATTGCGTCGCTTGCCATAGTCCACCTCGCTGACCATCAGAGGATCGTTGCTCTGTCGCTGGTAGGCAGCCTTGGCACCTGTTAAGCGCGCCTGCTTAGGCGCTGGTTGTGCTGTGCTCTGATTCAGAACAACGCGTTTCAGCGCGCTGGGCAGTATGTATTCGGGCACATGGGAGAGATGCGATTGTATTTTGAGGGTGCGCGAAGGTTTGTCATGGCGCAGCGCCATGAGATCGCGTTTGTTCTCCTCGAAGAAACCCTTGAGCTTCTCACAGTTTAGTATCTCAGTTTTGATCTCCTTAATGCGCGTGTCGTGGACAGCAACGCGTGTGGCAGCACGCCAGCAATCATTGGCGCGATAACGGAACGCCTCCACTTCCTCCAACTTGAATTGATAAGGCCTATAAAGGGAAGAGTATTCAGTGTAAGTATGCGATGATATGCGAGCGAAGATCGCGCTGTAGTTGTTTTACTTGATGATATCCTCTGCTGGCTTCTGTGGCTGATCCGATAGTGCATCGACTGTCAGATGCGGCTGCTTGCCGAGAGATATGCGCAGCTTCTCCTCCACTGCCTGATTGATGGGCGCCTCCTTGATGCTGACAAAGGACAGAACGGAGCCTTTGTTGTTGCCACGCGCTGTGCGACCAGCCCGATGTATGTAGGAGGTAACGTCGCGTGGAAAGTCAAAGTTGATGACATTATTGACACCCTGAAAGTCGATGCCTCGCGATGCGCTCGACTCATGATCGTTTTTCTGTTGTCCGCCTTTGTTTTTCGTTTTGCCCGCCGGCTTCTCCAGCAGATGCTCATCGGAGGCAATTATAATGTCGTAGACACCACGATTAAACTGATTTATGGTATGTATGCGTATATTGGCGGGCAGCTCTGAATTGAGAACGCACGAGCGTATGCCAAACTGTTCCAGAAACAAACGTACCCTGGCGGGAGGTAAGAAGGGAATATCGTTATAGCATAAGCATTCAGCAGAGTCTCATTTACAATAGCCTGATGAGCGCCGTCAGAGAGAAGATTAGTCAATGGTCATGCGTGCGCCAATTGTTGCCAATTGCGCAATCCCCAATTGAAATCAATTTCATCATCGGCTCAAGATTGAGTTGCTACAAATGCTATAGCCCGCTTCACTTACTTATAGCAGCGATCCACATTGTTCACAAAAATTATGCTCTTGCCCTGGATGAGCGTTAGCTTCAACAGAGCATACAATATGGCTGGCTTCTCGTTCTCCTCGGCTAGGATGCGGTGATGGCTGAGCTGATCGAGGGACACCAAATCGGGCTCCTCAAGTTTCAACGTGACCGCATTGTGGAGGCAAAGACCTTTCATGCGTGCGACATCGTCGGAAATGGTTGCCGAGACGAGAACCGCTTGATAAATGGGTGGCAAGAGTTTGATTAGCTTTTTGAAGTCCTTCTCATAGCCAAAGGCAAAGATTAGATCTGCCTCATCCACGACCAAGGTTTCGATGTGCTTTAGGTCGACTATGTCTGCATGGGCCAATATCTTTGCGGGCGTTGAAACCACAATATCTGGACGCTCGGCGAGGGCATGGCGTTGAGTAGCCGCGTCATTGGAGCTGCCTGAAATGTCTGTTACACGCACCACCTTGCCACATGAGTCGGACAGTTGTTCGATCACCTGGCGAGATTGCCGGCACAGCTCCTTGGTGGGACAGAGAACCAAGGCGCTGACACACTGTTCGCTGGAATTCAGCTTGGAGTTGAGAATCTTCTGGATGAGCGGCAGGGCATAGGTGGCCGTTTTGCCGGAGCCAGTACGAGCACGCACCACCACATCCTTTCCCTCTAGCAGCAGTGGAATGGCTGTCGACTGGATCAATGTCGGTTGCACCCAACCCAACTGCGCAATAGCCTGATTGAAAAAGGTAATAGAGGTAAGATAAGGAGCAAAAATTAGTTATATATATATTAATTGGTTACCTTTAGTATGCGTTGGTCTAGCTCCAGTTCATGGAACTGCAGCAGTTCCTTAGCTTGGCTCATTGTGCTCGCAGGAATTATTCGAAATGCGTGTAGCGTGCAGTCGGCAGCATGCGAAAAGGTAGCTCAGTGTTGAGAAACGTATAAATAAAGTGAAAACCTATCGACGTTACACTTTCAACATATAAATATATTTAATAGCTATGCATGGATGCTTAAATACTTCAATACCAAGCGATAAATATAATTATGGTATAAAAAAACTTCTTTACGGAGATGATTCTACTTTTTTAATATACCCATGGAAATATTAGAAACATCGATATATTTCAACGAGCGCAGCACACATCAATTGCTCCTCCAATACAGAGCTGCAAAACAATTAATCTACCTCGGCTACTAATGTTAATATTAATAAATATAAAGATAGTTTTCCTTACACTTTTATTTCAATGTTGATATGCATTTATTTTTACAAAGGATATGCAATGAGTATTGAGCAACTATCGATTAGATTGCTAGCAATTGCTTACCAACAGCGACATCTAGCGGTTTGAATATTAAAGAGTTTGCTCGATTTTATAAAATAATCGATATTACCTAGTAGATATAGCGGCTCATGAAAATTTAAACATAAACCTTTTGAGAAAAGTTGTATTGAAGGTTTATTTTTGAAGTTTTTGTATTTTATTTTCTATTCAAAATGAAAACTACATAAATTGATTTAAATTTTCTTTTTTTTTTTAATAGAAAAAAAAAACAAGTGTGTGTATGTGTTGTTTGTATGTGTGTGTTAGAGAAGTAGTGTATGGGTTCGTGTGTATTATACAATTCTGCATTATTTTAATATTAATGACGGCATATGACATTGACATAGACTTTGGCCGCATACATAAATACTTTTTATGTAGTTATTATATAATATCAATTTTGTAATAATTCTTAAATATTTTTATGTTATTCTCTTGTTTGTTTTATTTATTTATTTTTGGTTTTTTTTTTTTTTCGTCTGTAACCAAAATGCTTCTAAAAGTTTTCGTCACTTTTCTTTAGTCTCTAAGTATTGTTTCGTTATCTCACTCCAACATTTTTGTTTTGTATTTAAGGGCATACACCATAATAACCATAATAATAATAGTATTTTATAATAATCATAATAATAAGCCAACCAGCGAATGGATTGGCATCAATTGAATATTTTACATAAACTACTCTGGACCTTTTCAAAATTAGCCATGTTTTTTTCTCTTGTTTTTTTTTTTTTTTTTCATTTTTTTTTTTAAATTCTTAAAATTAATTTTTTTTTATATTTTTATTTTGTGTTTAAGCTGGGCTTTAATTTGATTTATATATATATATTTATTTTTTTTTGGGAAAGAAGTTGAGTTGATGTAAGAAATAGGTGCACTAATCGATAGGTAATATGTATATGTATATATATACATATATCTTTATGAATGACTTAAGATGCAAGCGAGTGTGAAAAAGCGGCCAAGCATATTTGAAATATTATATACCCTATATACTATGAAATATGAGAACGGTCTATGCGTATGTGTGGGAAGAAAAGCCTAAAGGAAAATAATTAACAGAAACAAGTATAATAGCTTTGTATTACCCATTGGTCCGTGTTTACCTTGGATCCACATATACATATGTATATACATCTGCCAACAGAGCAACTACATAAAATCTGGTCGAAATTTCATCAATTGGTGCCACAAGCCAAGCCAATTAAATCGAAAAGATATGTCTCCATTTGGAATGGAATTAATTAATTAATTCATTAATTAATTAATATCATTATTATTATGATTTGTAAATATCTGGGGGTAACAACTACGCATACACATATAAATATATATATATGTATATATATAGATTAGTTTCATGTGCTATATCTTTGAAAAACTTATAAACTTAACAATTCCAACTTTTCGCTTTCGCTTATTATCATCAAACATAATTCGTTAACTTTGTGCGGAAAATAAGTGAATTTCATTCTGTTGTTCATCTTCCTCTACCTCTTTATCTCACTCTATGTTTAAAACTAATTGCATCCAAGAATGTTCCAATGATCCCAACTGATATGCCGTACGATTTCAAGAAGCTACAACCATTCACATCAAGCATTATATACAATATTTAAAGAACGAATGTGGGGCTGTGAGGGGTGGGTGGGGGAATGTTGGGAAATGCTTGCTTTCTATATAAATATTTAACTGGTATATAGCCAACGCAAACAAAAAAAAAAAAACACGGCCACAACTCATAAATTTCAATTTGCAAAATGAAATTTTCTTTAGTTTTTCTTTTGTTTTTTTTTTTAATTAAGGTTTTCAGAAGTTTGTACCTTCTGTATTTCGCATACGCCCTTAGATACGATCTATATGTGCTACATCTGACTCGTAGTGTATCGTTACATCTCTTAGACTTACAACTAGAGTATTCATTTATGCTATGTACGTTTAAACAACCCATTGATTAGAGTAAAAGTTGAAAATGCAATCCTGGACAAGATTCTTAGATTTTCAATTTTCATTTTGATTTTTGATTTTTGTTTTCGTTTTTTTGGCTTATGCATTTTCTCATTTTCCACTTGCACTAAAACTTATTCAAGTTTTTCTTGCATTCAATTGTTATTATTATTATTATTTTTTTTTTTTTGTAATATTTTTTCATCTTGTTCTGTTCGGCCTAGCCAGAATGTTGTCATCGCTGAAAAGGCTTGACCAGAGCGAATACTATAAAAAACACAACCATAGTTAGGGGACTGGACATGAATCGAGTCCCATTCGCATGTTGCATGGCCGCTGGCTCCTCACCTGAAAGCAAAATGCGGAATCATTTACATATGATGCATATAATGGCATTCACTCTAAATCCGTCTGTCAAAGTTATTGTTGACTGTATTTCTCTAAGTTGTCCTGGTAATGGGTTTCTGAGTGGTCTGCTTATTAGATTGGGATCCACTCGATCCACTCCTGCCATGCTCTTTGCATAGACAGAAATAAGCTTTAGCTTATTTGACATAAATATTCTGTAAACTTGACGATTGCATAGGCTGCTAGTTAAAATTTAACATCTATCTTATATGAAACAAAGTCAGATCTTAACTAAGAGTCAATAAAGTTTCTTTAAAATTCAGAATTGTGAATAAAATTTCAGTTTGTAGTTGTATTTCTAATACAAGCGTAATTTTAATTCAAGTTTTATATAGTTTTATTTGACATGTGGTCAAATATATATCTATATATATTTATATAATTCCCTAAAGACGCTTTTCTTAACCATTTGTCAACCGTTTTCTATAGTCTTCTAAAGTCAAAGTCAAGCGCTTTGGCCTCTTTAGTAGCTATCCATTCTATTCCATACGGACTTACCGTTAAGCACATGCACTACAACAGTTTCAGTTATCTCATTGCCCAGCATGCAGGTGTAGTTGCCCGAGTCCTGTCGATTCGCATTGGCTATGTAAAGACGACTCAACGCCCTGCCAGGCAGCATGTCTGTCTTAACGCTAAGATAGGGATAGATGCAGATTAGATATAGGATTAGAGTATATACATACATATATGTATGTATATAGGATGGGAGTGGGAATAGACCTACCTAATGCCACCTCGACTGGTATCGTAGTTGAGCGATCGCTGGCCGTGCCGCCAGGTGATGTAGGACGATGGATGCGGTATCCTTGAGATGACGCACTGCAACTCGATGGTGCTGCCAGCCTTGTAGTACTTCTCGGGCGTGGCCGATCCTCGCTCGTCGAGAATTTCCACATGAGGAACTGCAATGTCACAGGCGCGCCATAATGATGCCTCACAGATATACATACATACATACGATCCTGGTACTTACCAATTATAGTTAGGTAAACGAGCAGCACCAGCGGTGGGTGCGATGACACTTGGCACTCGTATGGTCCCTCGTCCCGTTCGTTCGCATATTGTATCAATAGCTTCCAGTCGTTGGGCTCCTCGAACTCCAGCGAATAACGCGAATCGCCGCTGTACGTGTGCTGGCCGAAGGTGATCAGAGTCAGGTCCTCGCCCTTGCGCCGCATCCAGGACACCGTCTTGCCCTGCAAATCGTTGACGCGACAGTGCAGATAGACATTCGATGATAGCTGGGTGCTTATATTAATTGTCGTATACGGATCGGCGAAGAACGGGAATGGCTCGTGCGTGGTCGTCTCCGTGACCTCCAGCTCCTCATCTTCCGGCGTGTCTGTGAAGGGCGACGAGAACTCTTGCCAGAAGTTTTTCGGAAACGTATCAAACGGGTCTCCTGCTCGTGGACGTTTCACTGCAAACGAAATCCAAATTTATATATACGTACATATGTATATATGTATATTTTGTATGCATGTATGCAACAGGCGGCAGGCAACACATTGATCAAACTCGATTTTCCAATTTCGTTTTTTGGTCATAATTCGGAAATTATAAGAGCTATGAGCTTTACGTTTGGTATATGGCCTCTTTTAAAGTGTTAACAGGCTCAATTTATAATCTTCCTCCAAGCTTTGGCAATTTGAATGCAAATTTTAATGATATGTAAATGAATTGGTTGAAAATGCAAATGAAAGAAAATGGCACGACCCACGAAAATCGGTTAAGCTTTTTGTGTTTTTAATCCAGATCAAACTGATAAACAAATTTATTCATAGCACTTGAAGATTATAGATGGATGTATGTTAAATCTTTGGGTTCATAAGTAAGTAACTGTTTCAAATCTTAAGCCTTTATAAAGGTTTATAAATAAATATATATTTGGTATGTGGTTATCGTTATATACGGCTTAAGATATTCAAATAAAATTCTTCCAATTTGAATATACATTATTCTGTAACATTTTACCTCTACTATAATTTTAAATAAAGAGATACATAAATAAAATCTGGCTATAAGTTTTTCTTCATTTCCACAAATCTCATAAGTTTAGCTTTATTTAAACTTCTATTCAAAGTGCTTAAGGAGAAGCTTACGAATAAACTAAGAACTTACATGTCGTCGATGTAGAACCGGAGCCTATGTGATGTACCGATGAATATATAATTGCAAATATCCAAAATAATCTAGATTTCATCACTGTCATACAAAGATGGTAAATGCAAATATCATAAATATAAATATATATATAGAGACATGCATGTATGTGTGTATATATTGGGCATCGTCTATAACTCACCTAAGCATATGCGCATACAACAAATGTACTCGAATCCAATTAGAATATTTGATTTACGTTTTATCTAATCAGCGACATCTTCTTGACACGCTCTTGCCCTTGCTTGCCTTTTCGCTCCACCTCTTTCCTCGTATTTGCTTTTCTTTTCGCTGCCTTTTTTTTTTTTTTGTTGTCGATTGCTCCTCAATGCAATTTGTATTTATTTGGGATCTCGTATCCTTCACTGTCTGCTGCTTAGCATATTGCGATTTGCGTGAGTGGAGGAAGCTGCATGGATTGATTCTCTCTTTTTCACTGTGCGAGATGGAAGGAAAAAGGTTTTATATTAGCTGCACAATTTCATTGTCCCAGTGTCTGTCTGTCGGTGTGTATGTGTGTTTGTGTGTTGATTTCAATTTCAGTTTGTATTTTTCTTTGGCAATTTCAATCTTTTTTTTTGCTTTTGGATTTTTTTTTATAGTGAGAGCTAGTTGGATGCTGCTTAGATGACCAATAATTGGAATGTAGGTCAGGTTGCGATATGCGCATGCCACAATAGTCTACTCTACTCTACTCTCCGCTCGCCTCCTCTCCCATCCTCTTCCCTGATTTGCTCGTTTCTGTGAGCTACTCAACTCCAATCAGAGAACGTTTAATGAGCTCTCAAGTTTTCGATATGAGGCATTTCTTATTGGATTTAAGCACAGCTTGTGCACACATTTTATGTCTCAATTTAAATCCTAATGGCAATAGCACTTAACAATAACAAAATTCCACATAATATTCTTTTGTTTATACGAACTGACTTTTGTTATAAAATGCATGCATTTTGGTTTTCATATTTGTCGCTGGGCATTGCTCACTTTTAATGATATCATAATAGAATCTATGCCCATGTTGCAAGCGCCGGCCCGCCGAGACAACGTTGTTGGTTCGCACGCAATTGACACGAGACTGCAGGAGCAAAGGATTCGGGATTCCGTTTGCCAATTATGTGCTCTGCCAATTGTTTCCTCGCTTTCTCTCTCTCTCTCCCTACCAATCCATGGCTTTTATCTGAAGGCAGAAGATGCCAGCATGCTTTACACTATAGGGGCTGCTGTGGCGCCAACAGCACAGAGCTGCCAGACCACTGGAAGTAATTTAAAGGAATATAATAATATTCAATTAATTGAATTTAAGATTAATATCTTTACCTTAAATACTATTTCTACATACATATATTATGTTTCCCTTTTAGTTTGCTGGCAGCTTAACAGTATGCAACTGTTATTGCTTAAAACAGCGCCATCTAGTGTGTTCCGTTTTATTGTCAAGTGAAAGCACTATCTCAGACGTCAATGTTTTACTTGTTCATTACGAAAACGAACTTTAGGATATAAACAACTATACAAAACACCACTCGATAATATAGACCTAAATTCAAGCAGATCACAAATATTGCATATCCAATACCAATTGCTGCGCCATCTAGCGGGCTGTTTTGTTGTCAAGCTAACACTCTCTTAGGACTCGCCGTTACGCAGATAAATTTGTAATTTTTTTTGGATAAGTGCACGCCAAAATTCGAGCAAACAAACCCACACACACACACACAACATCAAAATCGCAGTTAAACGCGCGTAAAGAATTATCGTCATCGGTTTGTTTTGATTTGAATTGTTGCTATTGTGGCTGCTTCCTGCGCATGTGCAATTCCAGTGAGAGAGTAAGCATAGTTGCGGGTTTGTGTGAGTGTGTGTGTGAGCACATGTGCCCCTTATCTGTTAGTTTTTTTAGTGGTGGTGCGATATGGCAAACCAAAATTTTCGAGAGAGCACGAGTCGCAGCCGAGCATTCACATGCACTCACACACGCACACACACTCATACGAGCAATTATGCTCAGTCGGCAAAAATAACCGTTCATTTCATTTTCCGCGTCATTGCTGACATTTCATGCAGCGATTTCTTCGAATTTTCAATAAGATATTTCGCTGCCCGCCCTTAAAGCAACGGCTAACCAGTAAGAAAATTGTTCTTTTTATGCAGATTGGAAACGTGCGCGAAAGTGCTTTGAATATTAAGCAGCCACGCCGTAAATTTAATTCCAGACATTCAGTGAATTTATAAAATTCAATTGACGAACTCTGCCGAAGAGGGCAGAACAGAGCACAGCACAGAACGGCACAGTACGACGCGGCTGGCGTAGCCTATAGTAACCCATCGTCACATATACAGTGACGCAGGCAGCGCTGCTTATTGTGACAGCGAGTCGGCTGAGCTTCCTCCACCCAGCGGTTGTATTTAGGCAGCAAACGGAGTCCGAGACGACAGCAACGCAGCAAACGCAGCGGCTGTTCTTCCTCTTCTTCTTATTACTACAACTACTACTATTTGACATTTAGTTGGAAGTTTTGGAAACTTCGCAGTGCAATGGAGGAGTATTCGCGTGTTTTAAGCATTTTGGGCGGCATTGCTATGAGCATTGTCGGCTTTCAGATCTGCCGCAAAGTCTTACCCTGGATCTATGCAAATGTGCTGGGCCCCAAGCTGTGCGGCCCCTCGGTGAATCTGGCCGAGATGGGCGAATGGGCAGGTGAGTTGGAGCACAGCCAGTCCGGCTGCCATTTGCACTTTGTGCACGGCACTGCGATAAGCGTAGTTCACAGTACCTGATAACGTGTGGCCCATTACTCAACCTGTTAACACAAATATCGTTCGTCTATTGCAGTTGTCACCGGCTCCACGGACGGCATAGGCAAAGCATACGCCAGGGAGGTACGTACGCAAGCGAGGGATGCATTTTGGCAGCTTTCAATAAGATAATTGGAGCTAGTTGGAGCCAGAGTAGGCTATAGTATAAGCTAGCATTATGTCATGTTAAATGCGGGAATATGAGTTCACATGCACATTATATATATGTACATATGTATATACATATATATATATATATATATATATATATATATTCCTGATCAATAGAACAGATATGGTCATGCGAGCTTATGAAACTGTTATTCTGAATGTAGCCTAGCCTCAGTTTTTTTTATTTGTAGTGATATCGACCATTAATTACTAACTTTATTATGCTCCTAACCTAACAGTAAAACTATGTTATTGTACTAATAATATAAATAGGCGTAGAAACATTCGATTCGAGCTCTTTTATGCGCAAACTCTTGAACATAATCTCCACGATCTGTATATACGTATAGCAGGGTATTTCGCTAGGGCATTTAACAACGAATATAGCCATTTACTTTATTCTTTTTTTTTTATATTCATATCAAAGTTGACGATGACTTGAACAATTCTGCAATGCAAAAATATATAAAGAAATCTCTATAGGCAGTACAAAAAAAGATGCAATTAACGATTTGCCAATTGAATATTAAGGCTAAGCTAGGGCTTAAGCATTGCAAACATGACTCAGCTCTCAGTTCTATAGACTAAAGATCTCTGGTTTTTCAAACGCGCCAATGCACTTGGTTGCAATTTCGTCAAGTGCTAATTTTCTATTAGGCAGCTAAGTGCGATCACAGGTGACAAAACTTGGCAAATAATTTGTAGAGCTTTGTTTTCTGTTTGCTCAACTGCCCTGCAGCTGTTGACATTGCACTATTCAATATTCAATACTCAATAAACAATAGTCAATATTCAGCATTCAATATCCAATATCCAATATTCAGCGGATTTTGTGGTTCAGCAGCTGGTGTCAGCTCGCTACTAGGAACGATTTGTTTGCTATGCCCAGAACTTTGGAACACAGCATAAAGCGAGTTGCGCCGCTTTGTTGACACTGCGTTCACATATGATCTCTGGATCGGCTGTTGGTTTTTAGCTAGACTAAATCCACGGCTTATGTTTCCCTTTCGATATAATTAGTATTCGATATACCCATTCAATCCTATTTAATTTCGTCGTCTTCTGTTTCTATATCTATTTATATACACTGCCTGACTCTGTGGGGTCACTAACAAAATCGTTTCGTATTTCAATTAGTTGTTCCATATATGTATTTATATATAGTCTAAAAGTTCTTGTAGGTTTACTTGAAAATGTAACTAGAAAATGTTCGATATAATCTATTCTTATCATTGAATTTCTTTAATTTTCATGATATGATAAGAAAATTCCATTTGTATATGTAACAAATAGAACTAGTTATAGGGCATAAAACATTTGTTTATAGATTATACAAATATATACTTAGTTCCAAATATAAAGATATATAGTTATACGTATGGTATATGGCTCATATAAGATTTATATTGTAACTATACTATATATTATATATATGCATAACTATATATCATCATATATCATCTCCGAACATCGAATATTTAGATGGATGTATACCTAGCTTTACTAATGCTTAGTGTTACTCATTAAGCCAAGATTTATAAACAAAGATCGCTAGCATTTACAGATCTTATCCATTATCTAATATAACTCAACTAAGTAATTGCATTTTTATTTTCTAGTTGGCGCGTAAGGGACTGAAATTGGTATTGATATCGCGATCCTTGGACAAGCTGAAAACAGTAGCCAAGAAGATTAGTAAGACATGCATATATGGCTCGTAGTATAATCCTGTTTTATTAACTCAATTCTGTGGCATACTTGCAGGCGAGGAGTTCGGCGTCGAGGTGCGCGTCATCAATGTGGACTTTACCAGCGGCGTGGATATCTATGACAAGATACGCCAGCAGACAGCTGGTCTGGATGTGGGCGTCCTGGTGAACAATGTGGGCATCAGCTATAGCTATCCCGAATACTTTTTGGACTGCTACAATGCGGATCCGAAGTTTTTGTGCAATATCGTTGCCGCGAACATACATTCCGTTACCCACATGACGGCCATCTTCATGCCAGCCATGGTGCAGAAGCGTAAGGGCGTGATTATCAATTTGTCTTCAACAGCGGGCGTTATACCCAATCCCTTGCTTAGCGTGTACAGCGCCACAAAGGTGAGTCGCCGAGAGTCTTACTGGATGAATTTAGTTGCCATATGATTTGTAATTAATATATCCAATTGTGCTTGGCAGGCCTTTGTGAACAAGTTCAGCGATGATCTGCAAACGGAGTACAAAACCGATGGGATAATTATACAGAGCGTGCAGCCTGGTTTTGTGGCCACCAACATGTCGAAGATAAGTAAGCCGAGTGTGTTTGCGCCCACGCCTGAAACGTATGTAAAATCAGCTTTAGCGACGCTTGGCATTGCCACTCAAACTGCTGGATATTTGCCACATGCACTGCTTCAACTGGTCATACATTTTACAGAGGCTGTATTCGGTGATCAGTTTGCTAGAAACGAAGTTCTTAAGAACATATTAGGTACACGCAAGCGCGCTCTGCGTCGCCTCGCTAAGGAGCGATAGAAGCTATTCATTTCCATATAATCATGTCCCAAAAAGAAAAACCAAAAACCAACAAAAGAAAAAAAAAAATCTTAAAGGCCATTACGAATCTAAAGCAAGTTAATTGAATTAAGGATTGGGGGAGAAGCAGAAAGGACTCGAGACATTCGGGATGGGAAGGCATACAAATAAATTTTAAGTGATGCCTGCCATACGTGCCGCCATTTATATATAGACGTATATATATATATATATCTATATATATATTTATAGAACAACAAACAAACTTTTACCAATACCAATAACTCAAATGTTTTCAAATTCAAATAAGTATTGTTAGTTTTGCAGTGCAAATAAATTGGAAACCTAAATTTAACGGTTGTTTTATTTAAACTCGGCAACATTTATCGGTCGCTGGTAGTCTGCGTGGCGGTCTGTCGATATGTCATCGAATTGAGCCTACAATATATAATCCATATTATCGTTATCGATATGAAATCAACAAATCTAATGGCACCAACACAGTTGGAAACTTTGATTTTGCATTTATTGTATTTGTGATTGTGATTGAAAGTGGAAGTGAACGCCACCGCGTGATGAATAATTACGGCCACGCCGCTTGACCAACGACGAACGCGCCAACTCAAATTCCAATTCGTTATTATCTACGCAGCAGGGCCAACGGCAGCAACAACGGCAGCAACACCAACAACAACAGCCAGCAACAACATAGCAGTAGCCGCAAACGATTTTATGAAGGCAGAGCTGCAGGCAGCAATCGTTGTACCGCTCTTATCACTCTTATCGTAAAGCGCGCCGCCCCCTTTGGCAGTTATCAATATCAACTTGTTGCTATAAACGCAGGACGGATGTTCTCTGATCCCTGAGACGAATCCAAGATCAAATTCAAGTGCAACAACGACGACGACGACGACGTCATTTTTCGAATATTGAACGCAAGGGCGGAGTGCAGAGGGCATTGAGCGTGAGGCGTGTGGCGTGTGGCGTGGGGTGTGGGCAAGGGGGTGGCGGAAGTGGTTATAGAGAACTATTTTTAATAGTGGCCAGACGACACATTGGAGGACATGACAAAAGCGACAAACTAAGCAAAAAAGCAACGCGTCAAAAATGTATACAACGCATAAAATATTCAAATACAAAGCAGACGCAACAACAGCAATAATAACAGCAATTGTAAGCCACTAGCCCACACACACATACACTCGCACATCTAAGGAGTGGAACAGCTGGCAGCAATGGAGAGACGCCGCCCGTTGTTTCCCATTGAACCTGAGCCGCCAACAACGCCCACACAGCGCCTGACCCAGCTGGCAACGCGGTAAGTGAAGACGCTGCAGCAACTTCAAATGCGTGCCGTCGTGTGTGTATCCTTTAGGGCATATGTATGAATGTGTGTGTGTGTGTGTGTATGTATATGAATGCCTAATGATTAGTGATGGGCGAATGAGTTGTGGGGGAGGTCGTGGGTGGGGGAGGTAAAGTAAAGTCTATCGGTCATTATTATTTATAAATAGGCTGCGCTTCCTGCCCACACAGACACACACACACACACTCTCTCTCTCTGTTTCCCTCTCCATTTCGATTTCAGTTTTAATTTCGATTTCGATTTTTGGCTTTCAGCGCGCTACGTGCTCTGCAAATAAACTGGAAGATTATCATATCGGGCATAGTATCGACGCTGTTGGCCGTTATTTGGTATTATCCAACGTTATTTCTGTTTTTCGCATTCGTCATCTATTCCCTGGTGCTGGTCTTTGCAGGTAAGTGAATAGTGGCTATCATATTATCAGACAGCGAAACCAAATATCCAATAATCTTGTCCATGACTCATTTCTTATCAGTCCACTTTTCATATTCCACATAAATATATGAACTAGATTCACCTTAATTAAAAATTTATCTTCCGTCTCTTCCAACAGCTGTTGCTGGCACCGTCTACATACATTATATATTTACGACCAATGAGCCCACAAAGCCCAATCGACTGCCCTCTAAGCTGCTTTACAATGCAACCAAGTGAGTTGCATCGATCCCCCTCTATATAGTCCTTGTCTTAACATATGTACAATATATTCGATTTCAGAAGCAACATCTTCGATTTGCCAAATCCCATTAAGAATCCATCGAATTTACCCCTCGTCTTTGGCAAGACCGTCGATCTGCAGCTCCAACAGATCATCGAGTATGTGCTGCGCGACTTCATGGTGCCCTGGCTGGGGTAGGTATCTCTCTGAAGCGCAACCCAATCGCTGTTCTAATCTCAACTCCCTTTGACAGCTATGTGGTGACCAAACCGAAGCTCATTAACGATATTATACGTGAGGATCTATGGAATGCCATACAAAAGATCCATGAGCGTGCCGCCAAAATGGATCCAGCCAAGATCATAGCCGTGGACATGGTCAATCGGGTCACTGTGCATCTCGAAAAGATACGCATAGCCGAGGCACGCGCGTAAGTCTATTCAATGAAAGTAATTTTAACCTGTACTAATTGCCAATTCAAACCGTTGCAGTGCGGAAACAAATAACGCGCCGGTGTTTAGCACCAATCTGTACCTGGTGGATGAGGAGAAGGAAATGGAGTTTCTGCGCAAGCTGTGCGAGATTATGGTCATATTGCTGCTGCCACGCGGCTACTCCTTGCCGCCGCTCAAAGTGCTGCTCAGCGAGATGCTGTCCTATAAGAGTATGTGAATTAGATGGACCCTTTATATAAATATTTTAATTAATTCCACTCATTCTCGGCTCTGCAGTTTTTTTTCCCATGATCAAAATGCTCACTGCTCCAGACTACATTAATCAAAAGATTGTGCAGAACATTGAGACGCGTCTGGCCGCAGCAGCGATAAGCAAACGTAGCTACGAATACGCAGCCAGCTTCGAGGAGTTCCTGAAGATCATCAACAATTCGGGCAATCTGGAGGAGCTGTCGCTCATACGCAAGAGCATTGTAAACGATCTGATGCATGCCACGAGTATGCAGAATTTACAGCGTGCCAAAGGACTCGATCCAGATACCGAGGATCATACGCTGAGCAAATCGGAACTAACGGCCGCGGTGCGGCTAAAGCGCTACGTTCAGCAGCTCTCACTGGCCAAGAGTCAGTGCGAGAAGAATCTGGCCAAGTTTGGGTGGAATGGCAACTACTCCAGCGATACGGCAAGTGAAAGGCAAACCTATTCTAATCATAAAGCTAACTGTGTTCTCTCTCAATAGGATCTAACACTGATGGAAATACTCAATACGGCTGTGGGCAGACGATTCTTTACGCTGTTCCTCGAGCCACTGAAGGCCAGCGCCCTGGTCGGCTTCTATCTGGCCGTGGAGGAGATGAAGCATGCGCACAAATCGGCTACCCACCAGCTAGGCACTGAGATCTTCTACACATACATTCGAGTGCCCAAGCCAGAGATACAGATTGATAAGCACGAACGCAAGCTAATCGAAACGTTTGTGCTGGGCGATGCTGGGCCAGATATCTTCTATGATATACAGCGCAATATATTGCGAACCCTGGAGGACAAATACTATCCGCCGTTTGTGCTGAGCGAACAGTACCGCCAGCTAAAGGAGGCGCTCGAGTCGAACGAATTTAACGATCCCACCTTGCTCATGTGCCCCACTATGCTCGGCGATGCGACCGACGATGAGCAGGCCATCGTTGCGGATGGCCTCAATGGCGGCAGCATGGCTCCAGCGGCCATTGATGTGGCTGCACACACTTCCTACGCACGCCGGAAGCTGGAGCAGATACAGGAGCGCATCGATAAGAAGAACCAAGCGCTCGACGCACTCAAATACTCAGTGAAGCCCGAATCGAAAGTCTTGCAAATACTCGAAAAAGAAATGGAATGGCTAAAGAGCGAGAAAAGACAAACGGAGGCACATCTGCGTCGCACCGATGCCTGGACCGAGCACCTCGGCAAATGGAAGGCAACCATACAGAGCGTCGAGGTGAGTCCATGGTGCAGGAAATTGTTAACTGTGTGATATCTATGTCTTAATATTGTTTCAGGTCTCTGATGAGAAGGAATCGCTGCAGTTTATGATTCTGGTGCATGTGGACGAGGATATCAATGCGCCGCCAGCTACAAAGAACGGCGACAGCAGCACGGGCCGACCGCAAAGGCGTCGTCCATCGGGCATCTCAAGTGGCTGGGTGGTAATGCGATCCCTTAACCAAGTGCATGTAAGACTCTACATCGACATTCCAAATGTGAAACAATGTTAATAGAGCTGATCTCTCATAGGAGCTGCAACGCAAGCTGCGACACGTGAGCTCCAATTTGAAATCCTTGGATCTGCCGACGAACTTTAAGTTCTTCTTCTTGAAGACGGATCGACATGCACAGGAGAAGGCCAAGGGGCAGATACAAAAGTTTTTGAATGTGAGTCGACGTGAATGAATATCCATTTCTGTTATCTAATCCTTATCACTTGCAGTTCATTCTGGAGGATGATCACTTGAATGGCAGCGAGGCCATCTACACCTTTCTGAGCCCCAGCTCGGATCATCTGAAGCAGACGCTGCCCTCGCCCAAGAAGTCAAAATTCTCGCTCTCCACGCTCTTCAAAAGCGACACGGCCAAGGCGCACGAGTCGAGCAAAGCCAGCGATCCGTTCTGGGGACTGCAGCGTGATGATGACGACATGTCCAACTATCTGGATGGCGAGTCTAGCAGCGATGCGAAACTTCTGGCTGACCTGGACAGCAAGGATTCCATTGCCGAGCCGCTCTATGCGCTGATGGGCGAAATCTTTGACATGGGCGGCGTATTCAAGTGGCTGCGCAAGAGCATCATCTCGTTTGTCCAGATCACCTATGGACGCACGATCAACCGGCAGATACGAGAGTCCGTGGCGTACTTGTTCGAGGAGTCCATGCTGCACAACTACTTCTCGGCCATATTGAAATCGTTTTGGCCCGGAGGCGTGCTTGCCTCGGCGTACCCGCCCCGGTCGGAGGATATGAAAGAGATGACCACCAATGCGGCAAAGGCGCTGCTTACGGATCACATACCCGAGGTGCTCTGCAATCTGGTGGGCGCCCAGGCGGCCAAGCGTGGCGTTCTCAAAGTCTTCGATGCCCTGCAGAATCCCATGTACAACAAACAGCTCTTCTATGTGAGTTGAAATGAATTGCTTGATGATTGATGGTAGATTTGATTATTGATTTGCTTGCTTTGCACTTGCAGGAGCTGCTCGAAATTCTGATGATTGAGTTCTTTCCCGAAATACGTCAGCTGAAGGTGAATAGCGGTAGTGGGAGTGGCAGTGGCAGCGGCAGCAAATTGAACACTGCCACAGCTGGTGTGGCAGCTGCCACCGCTGCTGCCGCTGCACTGGCTGCTGTCACGGCGCTGCCAATTAACTACAGCAACAGTCACAATAGCCATGGCGCCAATCATGCTGCCGGCTCCACCGCCTCGTCATCGAGCTCAGCGGGGGCTGCAGCGGCCTCAGCCCCTAAGGAGCATTATCATCAGCCGCCGCAGCAGTCGCCCTATCATCAGAGCTCTGCCCAGCAGCAGCAGCAGCAGCAACATCTGCATCATCATCCGAGCGCTGCGCAGCAGCAGCATCATCTACTCCATGGACATCATCATCATCCAGCAACGGGCTCCAAGTAGAGCTCCAATGTTTTACAACTTAAACTTGGACTTTTTAATTGTGTTTCATGCTCTCTAGCGTGCTCTTTCTAACCCTATTGCCAGCTCGCTCTGCAGCATGGTCAAGTCTTTATTTTCCTTTCCTTTCCTATCTTTTTGTGTGTGTCTATTTTAACTGTAATACTATTTACTTTATGTGTCTTAGGATTATCAAGTAACTGAACCTGTACAAACGTTGATACCCCTCGCTTAACCCACAAATGCCCTTCCTTTAAGCTATCTACATGTAAATGTCACGTTGTCCCTTTGTTGATTTTGTTAGGCATTATGTTATACTTGTAGCGCATAGTAATACTCTATAGAGTTATTTATGTTGTTTGTTTAATTAGCTTCAGTATTAGGCGTTACCAAATTGTTCCATTTAGATCACATTCCCCACTTATAAGAATTAATGAATACACCCTACTCCCAAAAATCGAGCAAAAATTTTTTGGTGCCGAGGCCGCGTTCAGATTTAAACTGGAGTCGAATTATTGTGATCTTAGCAAGTAAACAGCACCAAAAAATATATAATATTCATAATTAATAACAGAAATGATATGATATGATATATGATACACGATTGTAATTGTATGTAAATGAAATCCGTTGTGAAATGTAATTGATTTTCTCGAAACTAAATGTTTAAGCGGCAAATGTAATTTAGCTAAACCAGTATATATGCATATGTATATGTACATACATATAGGTAGGTGTGAAAGTCGTTAGGCGGGCGACTGTTAAGACATTGGATTGTATAACTAACTATTTATGTATATTGCAGTTGCAACGTTTTATGTGTAAACAATATTAACAGCAAACAAAACAAATATAAACAAACCCAGACCCAAGCGAAATAAAGATGCTAAATATTTATGTAGTTTGTTATCTTGCATCTTTTATTTACCAATCTTAAACTACATTTTTTACAGATACACAACTCTAATCTTCCAGCCTTAATGCTTATAAAGATCTTCGGATTCTATTAACCCTTAACATATATTTGATGACTGACAAACCTATATAAATCTTAACCTAAACTTGAGTTTTCATTTTCACAAATTCATATAGTACAGCTATAGAGATTGATATCTTCTTTATATAGATATATATAAACTTTATTTAGGTACTGAGTTTTAGATAACGTTCTTAACTATCTAGCAAATTTGATTTCTTTATATATAGTTTTTGGCTTCAATGTAGACTCTGTTTCATTACAGTCTGAGTGATATAGATTTAAATGATTATAGTTTTTTACTACAAAAATATTGGGGTATCAAATTTTAAGTAATCTCAGTTTTTAACGATCTAAATATTTGGTTACACGGTTTTTTAATTCAAATTTAAATTTCATTATAATTACAGCTTCAGTGTTAGGCGCAATATTTGGATTTTATGTAAGTTAAATAGTTACTAATTATACGTTATTTCTTACAGTTCTACGTCTCAAAAAGCTTATAATAAATATTTTTTGGGTTTTATGTATATATTTTTAATAAATAATGTTTAACTAACAGACTAATTAATCACAAGTGTCAAAATATGAATAATGTTAATAATAATATGTATTTAGTATATCTAGTTAGATCTAGCGATCTTTAGGGTATATTTACTCAAAATAAGACACAATATTTCAGTTCATTTTAAAAGCGCTTGGTTTAAAGCTATTCTATATTATTATAGCTCGATCTCTGTTTAAAAAACAGTTATCTTCTCTATAAGCTTGTCCAGCTGGATCAGTTCCATGTCCACGATTATGACAGCCAGATCTTTGCGCATAGCCGTTGGCTTCCTGATTAGCAGCTTCACCTCGAAGTACTTTAAGAGGAAGCGCCACTTGAGTTCCGTTTTTCTACGCTCCGACAGCAGCTGGAAGGCATCTGCTTTCAAGCCCAGCAAGTGCTCAGCTACGCCCCCGCTCAGGCGTGTCTCGATCAGCGTGCCCGTCTGGTCGGACAGATGGACGTTGATGTTGAAGAAGTGCTCGAAGCGGGGACCGGTGTAACATAACGAGAACTCCAGCAGGCAGCTTTCGTTGTCGCAGTCGTTGCGGTTATTTGGTATGAGGCGCTGACAGGATTTGCTGCAGTTGCGTCAGAGGACGAGATAATGTCAATGTAGATAATATAATGTTGGAGGATTGGGTGCTGCTACTTGCCATTTCTTGTTAATGCTGGTGGCCAGGCCATCGATGTCGAATTTGCTGACCATGGCATAGAGCACAGCCGTAAACTGATCGCTCGTCGCATCCTGGAGCTCGCCCTCGGCACGCGCATAGATCTGACGCACGCTCATCTGGGTCTGGATGTGCTCGGCTAATGGAGAAGAAGGCGGGCGAGCACTTATTTAATGTCAAAATAAGAGTGTCCTCCACTTACCTGCTGGCAGCTGCTCCACATCGATTTGCGCGAACATATCGAAACTTTTGAGCGGAGTGTTGGCGGCGAATGTGAGCAGAGCCTGGCACTCGGCGCTCTGCGGTTGTGGCTGCTCGTAGATCAGCGTGCAGCTGGCATGGCTGAGCACTGGACAGCCGTAGAACTGCGAGTGCGACAGACGTACATCGATCAGATGCAGTATGGTCTTGCGTGGCTGCCAGTGCCGGGCGCGACGTATCCAATCCTTGTGCCAGAGCGTGAACACCATGCCATCTGCATAGCTGGTATCGATCACCACCAGTTCGAGGCACTGCAGCAGTCCGCTGCCAAGGCGAGCCACCTTCCTCTTCAGTTCTCGCACCGGACGCATCGTTGCCACTGCTACGAGCAGGTCGACATAGACAGCTGGTCGTTGCTCTGCCCCTGGAGCGGCACAACGCACATCCGAGAGCTTCAAGACAGCACTCAATGGCTTGTGGGATAGATGTATTAGCTGCAGCAGAGGCTGCACAACTGCCGCATCATCGACGCTGTGCTTCACTAGATGTCCCTGGCCCTCGTTAACAACCAGCGCGTACGGCAGGGTGCCACGGGGGTGATAGCGCTGCTGCTCGCTGGTGCCGGGCTTATTGGGAGGCATTATGGCCATCACTTTGGCGCCCACAATGTCCACCACATCGCCAATTTGCAGCATATCCACATACTCATCCACGCAGGCTCTGCTGCCCCAGCACTTGCAGTTGGCTATATCGCGCTTCGAGTCGCGCAGAGTGAAGCTAATGACGCCACGCTGCTCGTTGTTGATCTTGTCCAGAAATACATTTGCCTCCGACTTGGCTATGATTAGCGCCACAGTACTGAAGCTTGTCATTGTGGGCTGCATATCAGCCAAGCGGTATGTGCGCTTGCCTCGGTATCCCGACTCGTTCATGGCTAATTAATAATTAAATAATGCACTTATCTTATGTATTTATACAGTGGATGGCTTAAGCGATCAAAAAATGTGAAAATCGCACGCAGTTATCCTGTTCAGCCGTTATGTTTTAATTAATCTCAATGTCAAACACAGTGTACACACTGACGGCGTAATTATCGTATTATCGATAGCTCATTAGTTTCAGTTGCCATCTCAAACGGCAATGGCAATTTACATGTTACGTTGCGTTACATATTACGTTATATGAAAAAGGCCAAAAAATACTATGTTATTATTTACGTTCGTTTAATTTTATTGTTTTGCTATTATTATTTAGTTTTTTCTCTTTTTTTTTACAATTTATACATATCTACAACATAAAACGTGGGCGTTTTCCTTGCATTGCTGTGACTACACAATTGGGGAATAGCTTTTACTTATTTGTTTTTCAACTATTATTATTTTTTTTTTTTGTTTTAGAAGGTTTCTCGGGTGTCGTCTTCGTTTTCATTCATGCAAGGTACATCATATTTATATAGAACTCTAATGCTAATCTAAGTCGAAGTTTATTGTTAAGCAACTTGCTAGATGGAGTCAACTAGGCGCTGCGCTGGCAAAGATCTTTGCCCACTGCTAATTGCTCGGCGATGAATGCGGCGAATGGGAAATTTGTTGCTGAACTGGTGACTGGGGAAGATTATGTGGTGTCTGCTGCGCCTCGTCCTCGTTCTTGTTGTTGCCTAATATCCAGTCCATAAGTCCATAAGGGGCGCGCTGCGCGGATTGAGCTGTTTGTAACGATAAATATAAATTTATTAATATATATTAATTGGACAAGCGATGCAAGCATTGCGAGGCATTTACTTGAATCAATTTCGAGTGGCTGCTGCTGTTGCTGCTGCTGTGGCAATTGCTGCTGCTGTTGTGCAGGTGGCGAAGAAGGAAGATAAGTTGTTGGAGCTGCGGCTGTTGGCGCTGCTTTAACCATGTCCCGCTGCAGCTGCATCATCTGCTGCAGACGCTGCTCGCGTTCATCCACAATGGCCTTGTCCTTGGAATGCTTCACCGTCTGCAGCTCGGCCAATCTGTGAAAGAATAGTAGTTTTAGTCGAACATCCATTTTAAGTTGGATTCAGTTGAAATCTTACTTCTGCTTTAGATCACTGCCGCTGGCAGAAGTCGCCGCGGCAAGCTCTCCACTGCCGCTGAGCTTGTTGGGGCTGGATGAGGAAGCGGTTGACGAGGAGGCGGTGGCATTGGCGCTGCCAGAAGCAAATGCTGCTCCACCTGCTGCAGAAAGAGAAATATCATAAATCATTATTAGTGTTATTCTATTACTCGAGTGGAGGTGTCACACTCACTGCGCTCGGCTTCCAGCTGGCGCAGCGTGTCCGAGAGCTTGAGTTGGAGATGATCGCGCTCCTCGAGCAGCTGCACCAGTTCAACGATCATTTCCTCGACACGCATATCCCGCTGATGCAGCATCATCAATGCATAGTCCAGATCAGATCTCAGCACATATTCCGACTGTGGGTCCTGCCCAGCTGTGCCGCTAGCTCCAGCCACGGGGCCGCTGCCCAACGAGTTCTGCAGACGGAAGGGATCGTACTGCGAGGCGAGTCGTGCATATTCAGCGGAACGTATGGCCAGCTGTTCCTTCAACGTCACGATTTCCATTTCTTGCGTCTCCAGTGCGCTCTGCATCTTGGTCAACATCTCATTCGCGTTCTCTGTGGCGGGCAGTGGAGATGTCTGTTGCTGTTGATGTTCCTGCTGCACTGGCTGCGATGAGGCAGCCGCTGCAGACAGTTCGTCGATTTTCGCTTTGTATTCAGCTTCACGTTTCGCTAGATGCTCCTGCCATATCCTGGCCACTTCGCTGCACTTCTGCTCCACCAGTGCCTCCCATTGCATATTCAAGGCAGCGATGTCTGGCTGCTGTTGTTGCTGCTGCTGCTCCTGTGGCTGTTGCTGTGGTTGCGCCTGCTGCAGCACCTCCAGTGTTCTACGTAATTCGGTTATCTCAATGTTCTTCATATCTAACTCCAATACAGTTTGCTTCATCTTGTCCTCCAGCTCCAGGCTGCTGAGCACATGATTGTTGAGGACGCGCAGCTCCTCCTCCATGTCGTTCTTCTCTCGCTGGTGCTCGGCGCACTGCTTGCGCAGCTGTTCCAGCTCCTGCTGCACCTGTTCGAGCTGCTGCTGGAATTGCGATTCCGCTCGATTGTCCTGTTGCTCCTTCGACGGCATATTCTGCTGCTCCAGCTCGAGCTTGTCCTCCTGCAACTGCTTGACCTGCATGCGCAGCATCTGCAGCTCCTGATTCTTGGTTAATATCTCTAGCACCAACTTCTCGGTCTGATCCTCACGCATTAGCTCCTCGATGCGTTGCTTGAGATGGACGATCTCGGATTCCTTTTCCTGTAGCAGCGCCATGGTCTCGTCACTGGGCGCACTCACTGCCACCGGCAGCTCCAACTGATTGGTTCTTAGCTCATCTAGCTGCAGCTGCAGCTGCTGGCATTCCTGCTGCTTGGATTTCAGTTCCTCCAGTTGCTGTTGCAGCGGCTGGTACTCCTGCTGCTTGGCCTTAAGGTCTTCTAATTGCTTTTGCAGCTGCTGGCACTCCTGCTCCTTGGCCTTTAGCTCCTCCAGTTGCTGTTGCAGCTGCTGGCATTCCAGCTGCTTGGTCTTTAGCTCCTCCAGTTGCTGTTGCAGCTGCTGGCACTCCTGCTGCTTGGTCTTTAGCTCCTCCAGTTGCTGTTGTAGCTGCTGGTACTCCTGCTGTGACTGCTCTATTTGCTTTTTAAGCTGCTCTGCCTCCTGGTTATGCGCGTCGAGTTGCGCTTGCAGCCGCTCCCGCTCTTGCTGGGCTTGTTCCTTCTCCTGTCGCAGCTGGGCCATCAGCTCCTGGCACTCGTTATTAAGATCTTGATTCTCTGCCATCAGATTCTCGATTCGGGCCTGCGCTGCCTCATCGCCTGGCTGTGCTGTAGGCGTGGCAGCGGCACTTGCTCCGTCGCCCCAGCTTTCTAGTTGCTGCAATTTGTCCTGCAGCTCGCGTATGCGCGTCTGATACATGTGCACATCCATGTCCTGTCGCTCCTTCAGCTCGGCCATGCGTTCATTGCCTGCAGTCAAGACATCGATGCGCTTCAACAGTTTCTCCTTTTCCAGCGTCTGCTGTTGTAGCTGCTCCTCGACCTTAGCTTGGCGCGCTTCCTGTAGCTGCAGCTGATTCTTCAGTTCGTCCATGATGGCGCTGTCCAAGTCATTGTTATTGGCATTGCGCGCCTGCTCCTGCTGCTCCTTGATGCGATACTCCTTGACGCACTTCATCAACTTGGCCGTTTTCGTTTGCAGCTTCGCCTTCTGGCTCTCCAGCTCCTCGATGCGAGTTAGCAGCGCTGCTGTTGCATCTGTCAGCTGCTCCTCTTGCCCGGCATTGGCCCAAGGATCCTCGTCCACATCAACACCCCAATCGCTTGTCAGCTGCGGTTGTTGTTGCTGCTGCTGCTGTATTTTCTGTTGCTGCTCCTGCTCTGGATGACAAATATATGCCTTCTTTGGTATGATGAGCTGCTCCTCAACGGGCTCCGTTTGCGGAAGACCCAGATCCAGGCTGGTGACAGCTCCATCTGTTACCGTTTCTTTGCCAAAGAACATATCCAGCGAAGGGACCGCCTTTGTTGGGGCCACAGCTGGCTGTATCAGTGCCTCAACGGCTGCTACACGCTCACGCTCTTCTGCGGCAGCATGTAGCTGTGCCAGCTCCTGTTCGCGCTCGGCCAGCAGACGCTCCAGTTGAGCGCGTCGCTCCTCATGCTCGGCAAGCGCCTGATTGCGTGCCAGCAATTTTGTCTCTAGCTCCTTGGCATGTTTCTCCAGATCAGAAACATTACGCTGCAAATCTTCAATCGTTGGTTCTCCTCCACTCGAGTCAACATTAGCCACTGGCTGGGCTTGGGGCAAGCTCATGCCCAGATTCTGTGTGGTCATCCTCAGCGGTTGGGCGACAATCTCATCGAAAGGCGAAGGCGCAGCTGCCGCATCGCCGCCAAAGAACATGGCGGGTGCAGGCAATGGCGCATTCTGCAATAAATAATAGTAAATGTGTTTATTGTTTCAATTCGTTGGCAAAATTCAAAATAAACCTCGACTGAGCCGATTAATAAAGTTCATTTCAATTTGAGTTGTTATCGAATTAGGATTTAGTTTAATTGAACTACAATGAACTTGCAATTTAGAAACATACTTCCAGCAGTGCTGGAGCTCGCTTTGATAATTCATCGGAACTGGAGCCGATGTCGATAGTGAGTGATATCGATAGCATGGCATGGAAGTGCAATTCAAATTCGAAGTTAGTTTAAGCAAATTTTAAAATATTGTTCGCTGACTTTAATCTCTAGTTTAGTTCGTGCTGGGTGCTACATACCTGTTCTTGTCTTTGAGTGGGTTGCATCATGCCCGACCACGCCATCCAATCGTCCGTGGCAGTTGCCTGGGACTGGAAGCTGGGTGGCGCTGGAATTGGAGCTGAAGCGGCTTGCTGGCGTGCCAGCTGCTCGGCCTGTTCGTCAAGACGACCCTGCAGCTCCACCAGCTGCTCGGTGAGTCGCTTGTTCTCGTTCTCAATGTAGACCTGATCGTCCGTTTGGTTCTGCCCCAGGGTGTCCAGCTCGGCGATTTGCTGCTGCAGCGCCTGCAGTTCCTGATTGTGATTGGCGCACAGTGAGTCGATTTGGGAGCGCAGATTGTCCATTTCCGTTTTGTCCTGTATGACCTGCATGCGCAGCTCCTGCAGCTCGAGCACGTCCTGCTCGGCGCTGTCTTGTTGCATGCGCAGCATGACCGCCTCCCGGCTGAGCGCAGCACGCTCACGCTCCACTTCGGCCAGCTCGTCGTTCAGCCGTGCCAGCTCCTCGGTGCGTGCCTGCAGCTGTTCTTCGGATCGCTCCAACTGTTGGGTCAGTTCACGTGTCTGCATAGCGGAGCGTTGCATATGCGCACTCAGATCACACTCCAGCTCATCTAGCTCGGTGGCCTTGGCCGCAAGCTTGGCATCGAAGACCTGGCGTTGGTGCTCCAACTCCATGTTGCGCGCGTGCAGCTGTGTCCGCAGATCGAGTAGATGCTGTTCGTTGTTGTTGGTCTGATGATCCCGTTGTGCCTGGGCCTGCTGGGCCTCTTGCTTGTACCGCAGCAGCATCGTCTCGTGGGTGGCCTGCAGCGTGACCAATAGCTCGCGCGACTCGTCCGCCTCAGCGCGCAGCATCTTGATCTGCCTGCTCTGGACCAGTTCCTGTTCCATCAACTGTTTCACACGCTCGTTAAGCTGGGATTCCAGCGCCGCCCGCTGGGTATGCGCCTCGCGCACTTGCTGCTCGAGCAGTTCAATCTGCTCCTTGGCACTCGCCTCATGTGCACGCAACGATGCGGTCTGATCCTCGAGAGTCACACACTTCGATTGCAGCTCCTCGATTTGTGCCTCCAGCGATTCTATGTAGGATTGATCCTGCTGCAGCTTGGCTTGAATACCCTCATGGATGGTTTCCAGGCGACCGATTGTTTCCTCAAAGTTCACCTTCTCTTCGGCCATCTTGGCGTTCTGCGCCCGCAGCTGCTCAAGCTGCTCCAGCTGCTTTGCATTTTCCTTTTGTTTCTCCTGCTCCGCCTCCTCCTCGGGCTGTGCCTGAAGCTGAGCACGGAGCTCGGCCAGCTCGCGCTGCAGACTCAGTATGGTGGCATTGCGATGCTTGATGACCTCTTTGGATTTATCAAACTTCACGGACTTCAGCTCCAACTGGCGACGCAACTCTTGAACGGAGCCCTGCTCCGCCAACGCCATCTCCAGCTTGTAGCTCTCCTGGCGCAGCGCTGTGTTCGCGTGAACTGTATTCTGCAGCTCGACCTGCAGGCGTTCCACTTCCTCCTGGAGCTTGGACAGGGCGGATAGCTTGGACTGCTGCTTGGCCAGCTGCTCGTGCAGCCGATCATTGTCCTCCTTCAGCTGATCCCTGTCAAGCAGCTGCTGCTGCTGCTCCTGCAGCGTGGACTGCTGCTTGGCCAGCTGCTCGTTCAGCCGATCATTGTCCTCCTTCAGCTGATCTATGTCATGCAGCTGCTGCTGCTGCTGCTGTTGCTCCTGCAGCTGCTGCTTCTGCTCCTGCAGCTCTGCCACAGTGGCCCGCTCGCGCTGCAGCTGCTGCTCCAGCTCCGCTTGCTCGGCCGTGCGCTTCTTCAGGCTCAGGGCGTACTTTTTGAGCTTCTCGCGCAGCTCCTTGTTGCGCTGCTCGCTGGCTTCCAGCTCCTGCTGGCACTGCTGCAGCTCCAGCCGCTTCATGTTCGTCGCGTACTCGCTCTCGCTGTAGCTCTCGATCAGCTGCTGCTTTTGCTCGGCGACCAGGGCCTGCAGTATGCTCTGCTCCCCCTCCAGGGTCTCGATGCGAGCCTGGAGCTCACGTCTCAGACGCTGCTGCTGCTCCATGTGCTTCTCGTGTGCCATTTCGCTGTTGTTCAGCGACTGATCGAAGCGTTCCGCCTGCAGCTTCAGCTGCACCAGCTCAGCATTCTGGCTGGCTATCAGCTGCAGATGTTCCGCCTCGCCGGCACGCAGCTCCGCTATCACAGACTCCAGCTGTGCCACCTGCTGTTGCTCCTCCTCCACGCGAGCCCGTAGCTCAGCTATCAAGGCGTCCTGCTCGCGCTCCTTTTCCTGCTCACGCTCGCGTTCCCTTGCCCTCTCCTGCTGCTCCTCCTCGTCTACCTGGCCAATGGCCAGCTGCTTGCCCGCCTCCTGCGGTTCGTAGCTTTCGCGCAGCTCTTCCAGCTCCGCTCGCAGCGTAGCCAGCGTCGCCTTGAGCTCGGCATTCTGTGCCGTCAGCTGCTCGTATTCCGCCAAAGCTTTGCCATTGGGCGCGGTGACAGCGACAACTGTTTCCACCACGGTGACCGTCTCCACGGCGGTGCTCGCCTCCTTCACCTTCTGCAGCAGCTCCGTCAGCTGGACGTGCACATTCTTCGCCTCCTTGGCCAGCTTCTTGGACACATTCAGTTTGGCATTGCGATCGTTGGCCTTGCGATAGGCCTCCAGCTCAGAGCTGAGCTTCGAGAGCGAGCGCTCGCACTTGTCGAAGAGCGCGGCGCCACCCTCGCCACAGTCCAGGGCAGCGACCACCTCTGAGGAGCGCTGCATGGAGCTGAGCTCCTGGGAGAGGTTCGATTTCTCGCTGAGCTGCAGCGACAGCTGTTGCTTGTCCCGCTGCAGTTCCTCCAGTTGGGCCTGCAGCGCTGCGCTCTCCGTCTGCAGCTGCTCCTTGGCCAGCTTCAGTTCCGCTTGGAGCGTCGTCTTCTCCGCCTCCAGCTGCTCCTGGATAAGCTTCGATTCGCTTTCGTGAGTCGTCTTCACCGCCTCCAGCTGCTCCTCAGCGAGCTTCAGCTGCGATTGCAGTGCCGCATTCTCCGCCTGCAGTTGCTCCATCTTGGCCAGCACCTCTCGTCGCTCGTTGGTGAAGAGCTCAATCTTCTGCATCAGCTCGTCGCTCTCGTTGCGCAACTGAGCGAGATTCTCGTTGACCTCCAGCTCGGGCACTGCCAGATCCGTTTGTGTCAGCTCGCTCACAAAGCTGGGCAGGACGGCGGGTGCAGTGGGTTGCTTAGTGTTGCCGCCGCTGGCCTGGTCTCCCTCCACCTCCGCTTCGCCCTCGCTGCCTGGACGCTGGCTAAAGCGTCGCGCAGTGGGTCGCTCTACGATCTCGATGGACTCAGCCGAGCTGGAGGAGCTCAGCTTCTCCAGCTTATCGAGCAGCTCCATGTTCTCATTGATGTAGTGGGTCAGCTTCTTGTCCAGTGCCTCCTTCTCGGCCTGCAGCTTTTGCAGCTGCTTCTGCTGCTCGATCGCCTCCGACTCTAGCTGTTGCACGCGCTGCGATAATTGCTCCTCCAGCTGCACCTCGCTCAGCTCTGACTCAACGCGAGCTGTTTCGCTGCCTAGTTGCAAGGCCTCCAGTGCTTGCTGCAGCTCCTCCTTTTGCTCCTCCAGCAGTCGGATGGCTTCTGTCTGGCCAGCGGTTGGGGCTGGTTTGCCAGATTGTTGCTGCTGCTGTTGCTCCTGGGACGCATCCTCTTCGACGTGGGCCAGTTGCCATTGACCCTTCTCATCCTCTAGCACTGTGATGCGCTGCTGCAGCTGCTCGTTCTCAGCGGTAATCCGGGCCAGCTCCTGTTGGGTATCCAGGCTCTGCATCTTCTGCAGCTGCTTCTCCGCCTGCTTGCACTTGAGCTTCAGCTTGATGTTGCTCTTGTTGCACTCGTCCAGCTTCTGCTTGAGCTGTTGCAGCTGCGCTTGCAGCTGCTCGTTGCCATCGCTGGCGTCCTCGTCTAGGAAGAGGGGCTTGCTCTTGACGCTCTGGGCGAGCTTCTCCTCGAGCACGCGCAGATTCACATTGAGCACATTCAGCTCGGTGGTCTTCTCCGCCAGCTGCTCGCTCTGCTGGGCAATGATGGCCTCGAGCTCAGATACTCTGATAGCATTCGGCTCCAGCTTTGGCGTCGGCTCTTCCTTGCTGTCGCGCAGCTCTTGCAATTCCTTCTCCAGTTCCTGCAGCTGCTTGGCCAGCTCGACATTCACCTGGGCATCCGTGGAGACCAGCGCTGCCGCCTCGGCCGCTGCTTGGTTAGCCTGCTGCTCCAGCAGCTGCTCCCTGGCGCTGTGGAGCTCCAGTCGTAGGGCCTCCAGCATTTCGCTGCTGTTCTCCAGCTCCGCGTTGCGTTCGCGCAGCTGCTCGATCTCTGTGTGCAATCGTGCATTCTCCTGCTCCTGCAGGAGTCGTTGGCTGTCCACCCGTTCGCCCTGCTGCGCCTGCGTCGCCTCCAGCTGTTTAATCTGCTCTTCGCGCCGCGTCAACTCGTTGCGCAGATCGTTCAGCTCCTGCTGTAACTCTTGCTCCTTGCGGCTCTGCTTCATCTCAATGAGGCGCATTTTGTTTTTCAGCTGCTTCAGGCGCCCCTCTTCGCTCGGCTGCTGTTGCAACTGCTGCTGCATCTGTTGCTGCAGCTGTAGCTGCAGATCTGCTGCGGACCAATGCCTTGAGACGGGCGCCGCTGTAGCCGGCGCACGCAGATCGCTCATGGAGGAGCCCAGATCAATGCTCTGCCTCATGCCCGATTTCACCGACTGCAGCGATTTGGCCATGTCACGTTTGCGCTGCTCGAGGAGTGCACGATTTTGCTCGGTGCGCTGGTTCAGCATTTGCAGCTTCTCGCTGCCCGACACATCTTTTGTGGGCGTGACCAACGGTGTGGACGAATCCTGTGCGGGCAGCTCGTGCAGCAGCATTTGAGGCGAATCGGGATTGCCCACCTTCAATGTGGACAGCCGCTGGCCCAGCGCTTGGAGCGATTCCACCGAATCGCTTCTGCTGGGCTTGCCCCGACCGCCATCCTCGGATTTGCGCAAGGCACGCTCACGCAACGCCGTGAGACGTTCCTATCACGAATTGTACACTGATTAATCTCTCATTTAACATGGAGCTATGCAAGACTTACCTGCTGCTTTATCAGATTCTCGCGCAGACTATCCAGTCGCCCCTTCCCACCAGTGCCACCAGCAGGCACATGCTGCAAAAGCAAATCGAAAGCCAAGTTAGCCAAAGGAAGAGTTTGTTATGCGGGCGCAATTTACCTGAGTCAGGGAAATGTCTGTGGAGCTGCTCTCTTCCTCAGGCTCATTGGGCGACATGTGCTCGGACATTGGCCCGGACATAATAAACAAATTCAACTAGCTAAACACGTTTACAATAAAATTAGCAAAAAAAAAAAAGGGAAAACAAAAAAAAAAGAAGAGGAAGCACTGGCTATCTCCGGAATGGATATATCCAATGTCGTCGCGAGTGTTTCGTGGTGTTCGTGCTGCTAACTATCGACATTGACTGAAATGGTAAAAGGACATGTTTCCTAAATTAATCCAAAATATTTAAGACAAGTTTGGGGGGCTTTCGCGTATTTTAAATTTTGGACAGATTTCGTGGCACTGACGTGTGCACTTCTTAGGTGTGTGCGTGTATGTGTGTGCTTGTGTGCGTGTGTCGCAGTGTGTGTACGTCTCTAGACAAAACAGTTTTGCCAATGTCTTCAAGCACGCACACACATATAAGGACACACACTCACGCTCTCATCGCAATATACAAGGGGAAAGCGATTTTTAAAACAATTTAAGGCGAATTTCATTGAAAAACTATTTACCAATTATCATTAAGCAATGCTAACAAAAAAGAAACTTGAACACCAGGGCTCTACAGTCGTTCTACTGCCCTAGTTTGGCAATAGCAGGGCCGTTCTTGTCATACACGCGATAGTATCGATTAAGAATGGTCCAAACAATCGGCCGCAAATGCAATGTGAAAATATAATTTTTGAAATACAATTTTTGAAATATAATTTTAGAAATAAAATTTTTGTATGTGTACCTTTATTTACGTGACCAGTTTGTCTGACTATGAATATTCTATGTTGATATTGTGTCAGTAGCTTACAGCCTACTTGATTAAGATATGGACATTCATCAAATTTTTATTATTTTTATTTTTATAGATTGCTAAATGTGAAAAAAGCAATTATTTTATAGCGCAATTCTATTAGGATGTATTAATCAAATTATTAATAAGTTGTTAGTTGTTATAATATGTATCGATTCAGTAATTCAAAATGATTTTGTTATCGAACCTATCGAGATTTTCTTTATTCATAACCGTTAAATACAAGTGCGTAAGAATTCGAGTTGACATATATGTCAAAATCTGTGTATAAAATTCAATAGTGGAAAAAACTAATTAGTAACAATATAAGGCTAGACTAGATTTTTCTAGGTGCGCGCAATACAAGCGATTTAGTTATATGTGTACGTGCATACATACATACACAGATGTGATTGAAGAAACTTTAAGTAATAACCATGAGCAGCAGCAGCAGCAGCAGCAGCAGGAAGAACACACTGTTAAGTATCCGGCTCCGACACCGTCTCTGCCTCGTCGGGCTTTAGCAGACGCACAACCTCTGCATGGCCGCCACGTGTGGCATAGTCCAACGGCGTCAGCCCAATCAAATCCTTTAACTCAGCTTTCTCCGTATTTTCCAGAAGGTACTTCACCACTCTCACATTGCCATGGAGAGCAGCCACATGCAATGCTGTGCGTCCCGAGGGATCCGGCAAACTTAAATCGGCGCCGGCTCGCTGATAGGATTGCAGGCGACGCAGTGCACCACGAGCTGCAGCGGCGCACAGCTGCTCGCCCATGGCACGCGAGGATCCAGTCAAGTGGGCGCCACAATTGATGAGCAACTGAATGATCTCTGCATTGTCCGCCGAGATGGCTTCATGCAAGGCCGTGCGCTCGCACAGATCCCGCTCGTGCACCGAGACGCCGTTCTGCAACAGGAACTGCACTACGGCCACGTCGCCCAGCTGGCATGCCAGATGGAGCGCCGTGCGCTGGTCATGATTGGTGCCAGAGAGATTGGCGCCATAGGCTTTCAGGCTCGTCAGTTTCTTGATGTCACCCTCCATGACGGCGGCATTGATCATGGCCGGGAAGAGCGTGTTGCCCAATTGATCGAGCTCCTGCGGCGACGACAGATGCAGCGAACGAGCCACTGCATCGACCAGGTCGTAGTCCTTCATTGAGTGCGCGCCCATGGAAGTCAGCTCGCCGCGCAGATTCGTCTGCATCATCTGGACAAGGCATAGATTGGCATCAGTTAGATCAGATTTCCGAGCATAGTTGGCTTCTCTGTTAACCCACCTGCTTCTTCACCTCGAGCGACCACTCGGACTTGCCAATCACGTAGGCCAGCTTGGTGAGCGCCGCCTCTGGTGTCATATCGTATCCGGGTATGACGCCCACATCGAACAGCACCTTGCCGGTATCATAGATCTCGGCAACCGAGCCATTTGGACACTGGGTGCAGTTGATGATGATGACGCCGCGAGCGGCGGCCGCTTTCAGCTCGTCGATCAGATCCTTGCGATTCGATGGTACATTGCCGGAGCCAAAGGACTGCAGCACCACGCCGCGCATCGGCGGCGCCAAGAAGGCGCGAAACGTGGCCAGCGAAATGCTGGGAAAGATGCGCAACAAGCCGACATTCACGTCCAGCTGCGAGTGCACGCAGAAGCGCTCGACGGTGCACGGCCGGAAGATCAGGCGATAGTCCACGTTCACATTGATGCCGATCTGCGCCAACGGCGGCACATTGGGTGAATCGAACGCGTCCAGCGAGTTGGAGCTGACCTTCACAGTGCGATTGCCGCGCAGCAGCTTGTTCCCAAAGAAGATGCACACCTCCGGTATCACATAGTTGCCGGCAATGATCAGCGCCGAGGTGAAGTTATCCTTGCCATCCGTTCGGGTCTCGAAGATCGGCAGCTGGCTGCCCGTTATGATCACCGTCTTGCCCAGGTTCTCCAGCATGAACGACAGAGCCGAGGCCGTGTACGAGAGCGTGTCTGTGCCGTGGAGCACCACGAAGCCATCGAAGAACTCGTACGATTGCTGCAGAGTGACAGGTGGAGGAGTATTATTGAGGAGCACGCCAGTGAGGGGGAGGGAATGAGAATGTGTCTGTGCTTTCTTTATCTCACCTTCTCGTTCTCTCCCTCACGCCTTCTCACTCCTTTACTTCGCTCTCACTTTCCATTGCTTGTCTACTCACGTAAATATCCTTGGCAATGCGCGCCCAATCATCCATGGTCATGTTGCTGGAGTCGAGCAGCGGCGAATATTCCGTCACCTGGTAGACGATTCTCCTCGCCTCGCCCTGCACGTACGGCAGCACCAGCGGCCCTAAGGAGGCGCCCAAGGAGGCGCCAAAGTGTCGCTGCGCATAATCCTCATCGTGAATATTCGGATATTTGCGAATCAGTCGAACCAAAGCATTCGGAATGGGCGCCAAGACTGAAAGAATACAACTAGGTTTTCAAATTGGAAATAGAAGAATAGTGATAGAGAGAGAGAGAGGGAGAGAAAGAGAGAGAGAGAGAGGGAGAGAGAGGGAGAAGGTGGAAAATGGAGATTAAAAAGAAAGAGAGGAAGCAGTCGATTTGAAGGTGAAGGAGAATGCAAAATGAGAAAATGATTAAAAGCTGTGGAAGCGTAGATTAGAAGCAAGAGAAGAAGATGCAGAAGAAGAGGAAGTGGATATATTGGAGTGGATATATTAGAGAAACTCAGTTGAAAATGTATGGGTAGCTGAAGATGAAGCAATAGAGACTGGAGATTGAAAGATAATCTTATCTTGCAGCTGGAATGAAGTATTTCAATGAGAGTAAGATAAGATATAGAAATGATAATAATACTAACAAGAGATTATAGGGAGGAACGTGAATAAAGATTGGAATACATAAAAGACGCTGATGTGGGATAGATAAACTTGAGATGAGATCAAGAATAAATTCGAGAATCATGGAACAGCATAGAATTGGAAGTAGGGAAATCAAAGATGAAGAGCAGATCGGGATAGGGTACGGAGGATATCGGGGTGGAGGCATTATACCCATATGCAAATGGGAGATTGGAAGGTAAGTGACATGAAGCTGGAGATCCGTTTGGTTAGTAATCGAGTTCATATTTCAATAGGATGAGACACCAACTAAGGATGTGAAGCACATAGAGAAAGGATGTGTTTGATCCTTTGGGATAATTACCATGCCGTTCGTTGCGCATCATTCCGATGGTGCCGCCCGTATAGATAACGCGAACGCGCGCTTCCTTCGAGGCGGACGGAATCAGCAGGCTGTCGCCGCTCACGTTGCGACGCATTGTCAGCGGCTGCATTGTGGGTGATGGGGGCACCGTCTCGCTGGGCTTCTGCTTTATGTCGATTGCTGGCGCTCGGGCCTGTAGGTGGGCATCGGTCGCGTCGCCGTTGGAGCACATTATCAATGTCAAAAGATTGCCCGCTCGAATAAACAATTATTGGGAATTCGATGACTATTCACTGCGAAGTGTTCGACGTTTACTTCGAATTAATAATAATATAATAAAAATATATTCAGTGCTATATTACAAACCGGGGCTATGCATGTACATATGTACATATATACATACGCGCATCCATATATTATATATAACACATGTGTTCGTATGTATGTGCGTGTGTGTGAGTTTGTTTAACCAATTTGTTATCAGGCAAACGGCAAATGTAAAAGATGAAGGCCAAATGGGGGGCATTCGCCTTTTAGGTTCTTATTAATTTCGGTAGCCATGCAAATTAAAAAGTTATATCTTATCCCGATAACGGCACATGCCATTCACAAACCTATATTTATTTAAATACATATCTACTCTCAACGTGCTTGTATATATATAGAAAAGTATATTTGTGCGCCTGTGTGTGTGCGTACAATAAACTTGGGCCTTACAATTGAACAGCTGTTGACCTCACGGTCTGGCAGCGCTGTAATGCTCAGCGTGGCCAATCTAACAGATTGACGTGGTGCGCAACTTGGCTAGCTGTGTGTAGACTGGAATATATGTGGAGTGTGGTGAAAAAGCGCCGGTTGGAATTGGAATTTCATACGAAATGTAACGGCTTTCATAACGGGCAACAGAGACAAAAATTATTGGTTTCGCATATTCTTTCGAATTAGCATAAGAAAATATGAACTCTCCAAAATACACTGTTATTCCTGCTAAAACTCTGCAGCACGGCCAGCATAGAGTAGGGGTGTCCAAGAAATATGAAAATCGTTCATTTTAATCTACTGTAATGCAAGCCAGAAATGATTTATTTTCTAAAAATATACCTGCTTTTTTTAGAATGTATTTTTAAATATAGTTAGAAAATCTACTGCGTAAGAGAGTATTATTCTATTAGAGAAACAGATTATGAAATTATATATTATAAATTTCATAGACTTTTTTTTTTTTTAATTTACCCAATTTCACGTATATTAGGTGAAAATATCTTTGGTAAATTAAATTCAGAGTCAAATCGATATTTTCATTTTTCATATTGTGCATCCCTAATTGCTGCTACAGCTGCAGCATCTAGCGTCTTATAACAATTTTAGCAATGGCTTTAATCGACAACTGCACCCAGGCAACTGAATGTCCACCTCGTGTTCGGCCTCATCAAGATGTTGCAGTTCTTTTTGTTGTTGCATTAATATAATTGAGGCTTGGGTGAGCCATGGCAAACTATTACGATGAGTCTGATGCGCTTTAGCCTGAAATTAATTTGCTTAGCTATGAGCAGCAGCGCTCCACGTGCAATGTTTTTCTAAGCTGCAAGAATTTCTCAAGGACTTTTAACAAAAATATAAAAATAATAAGCATTTAACAAAATTCAATTTTGTTGAAATTTGTAAAAACAAATCAAGTTTTTGTCAAGGATATCGATTCCTTTATTTTGTTGCTGCATTAACCCTCGGCGATGTCTACATATCGATAGCATATCAGCTTAACACTGATCAAGCTCTGTACTTGCTTTCACTTTATCGTTTACTTACCCTGTTGCAATGGCGGCGATTTCCGTTATGCTTGCTTGATAAACTTTGTTACTTTATTTTTGAAGCGTCTTGAAGTGCGGGTGGCTCGCTGTAAAATACGCTCGTTTGCACCTCAAGTGGCAATCATTTGCCTGGTAACCCAACCCACTAACCATCCAGACGACATTCACACAAGCCCAACCAGCTTGCCTCAGGCGACATTATCGCTGCCGCAGCCACAGCCGCTGCTGCTGCTGCTGCTGCTGCTGGTGCTTTGCTGCGCTCGCTAATCACCAGACGAAAGAGTGCGAGCGGGAGAGAGAGAGAGAACGAGGTATGCACTCAAACAGGAAGCAGTTGAGCGTTTTTATGACAAGTGTGAGAAAGAGATGGTAATGCTGAAGAAAGGGGAAAGGGGAGGGGGAGGGGGTGTGCCATCACACATACAAATAGTAGCAAGGAATTGTGGTTACATTGTATTGGTAACTGCATGATGATGAGGATGATGATGATAATGATAATGATGAAATGTGACAGTTACAGGAAGAAAACCGCGATTCTAGGCGACGCTAACGAACAACAATGGAAATATTTGTAATAATGGCGCCAGTGACAACAACAACAGTGGAAGCATCAACATCAACGTCAGCCTATGACAATGACAAGGCAAATAACGTGTCGCCAAAAAGAAACTTCAGAGCGCCGCAAAGTCTCAGCGGCAACAACAGCAGCTCGAAGAGCTCGAATTACGCAGCCAATTAGAGCGGAGTGCGTGACACGAGCGAGTATGCTTAAGGATAATAAATGACGAAAGCTGTTTAAAATTAAAAATATTCAGATAAAAAAGATAAATTGCTGAGTTTATAAATTAAAAAAAAAAATATATATATATATATATTGAAAGTAAGAAATATATGTATATAATTTAATTCAATATTAATAAATAAAATACCTATGTACAAATGACCAACAGGTAAAAAAATTTACATATGTATATGCATACATTGACATATATATATTTTCATAAATACATCGTAAAAACTATCGGCTCGATATCCACTTGGCATATTGCTCATCTCTAAGCGCAGACCCACACCGAAGTCATGTCGCTTCCTTGATGTCTCTTCTTCTTTGTGTTCGGCTCTTCTCGTTCTCATTCCTCGTCATCTTGTCTTTTCATAATTTTTGCCTCACATGGCTGGGATAATTGAGTGTCTCGCTCACTCCCAAGTGGTTTCAACTATAATTACAATGGCGTTCGACGCGGCCCTTTAATGCTGGGCACAGGGAAAAATCAGCGATGCTGCTGAAAAGTAGGCAACATAAAATTCAAGCCCTTCGACGTTTAATGAGCAGTCGCCGCTTTAACATGACTAAAAAACGTTGCCAAGCCGACAGAGTGGAGTAACGGGTGCAAGCGAGAGTGCAGGAGATGAGCTGCATATGTATGTGTGTGTGTCGTCTATATATTTACAGCTACTAAACTGTAATCGGGCCACACACCGGAAGTTGAAATGACTTGAAAATTTATTGCATTTGCTGTCGTCGTTCTGGTTGCTGTTGTCCTGCTTATACACTGTAAGCTGAGTGCACCGGGGCATATTGGTTCCACAAATGTATGCTAGATCTATCATTTTTGATAGTAAACTGCGGCAGATAGAACTAGCTATTAACAGCAAGTCAGTAATTATTTTGATAGGGTCAGGCAAGTTCTGCGAATTGCGAGAATGTGAACAGAGTATTGTGCAGTCGTTGCATTGCATGCTTGCGCTTGCCTCTGGCTGTTATTGTCGCTGTCGTTGTTGTTGTTGTTGTTGTTGTTGTTGTTTTTGCTGTGCATTGAGGAGGCAAACGCTTGACTGCTTCTGATGCTGGCAACGTGGCCGTCGTCTGCGGAAGTGGCACGGCAGTCAATTGGAGCCAGTTGCAGAGATTTGGCGACGCCGGCAAGCGGCGATTGCGAAATTGAATAAGCCCACAGCGCCCAAGTTTCAGATTCTCAGCCCACAAACTGAATTCTAGCAGCTCCTGTACGGGTCCGTGGCCAAGCTAAAAACCCAAGCTCAACCACATGTGAATGTGTGTGTGTGAGTGTTTTTTCTCTCTCTCTCTCGGTTCTGTTCTCATTCTTTAGTCTGCTCTTTCTCCACGTTCTCTTTCACTCGTCGTCTGCATGCTTCGAGCGTTTTACTGCTCATAAAAATCCATTAAATTATTCAAATTGCATAGCAAAACACTTTTGCAAAGACGTCAGCATGCAGCGCCACGCCCCGCTGAGATTTTGGGCGTTTACCGTTACCCAGCCATCTACCGTTTCCCCATCTATACGAATGTTTTTGTTTGATTTCTCTACCTCGACTCATTCTCGGTCTTTTTCCTTTTTTTTATATATTTTTTTTTACCGTTCTCCTTTTGCTATTTTTCCGCGTTGACTGCTAAAAATAAAAGGCGACTGGCGGCCGGCAGCCGGCGGCGGCAGCAGCAGCAGCAGCAGCAGCAGCTAGCAAGCGCACTGAGGCATGCAGCAGCACACACACACACTTACATACACGCATACTCAGTCACACTCATACCTACACACATACACACATGCCTGCACTTGCAGCTCACATTGAAAAGCCTGAGCTGCGGCTTTTAATGCTCCTCGATGTGTGCGTGTGTACGGGCTTTATTGCTATTGTGGGCGTGGACATACACCTACATACCTGCATACATACATAGCATGCTTGTTAGCACAATATGTAATTTAACTTGTTAATCCGCGGCTAATCCCAACAAATAAATTGCACATAAAATTCGCTCGCATTGTCTTTTATTAGAAATTGATGGCATCTCCTCAGAAAGGTAGAGTGTGCCCTCGCTAAGTGGTAAGGAGATAAAGATTATAGGGAAGCTAAACATACCTTCACGTTAAAGAGCAAACAGTAGGATTTACGTTTTGGATCCTAGTAGTCGCGTATAGCTTGTTTCCATCTTTTAAATTTGACTTTTTCACCTTAGCGAATCTTCACTGTATGATAATTTATAAAAATATGTATACAAATATTATTGACATATACAAATATTTTTTTTTAGCTATCAGTGCAGGTGTCAAGCTTAAGGGATTGCAGACTCTAACATAGTCAAACCGCCCACAAACATACATACATATGTATGTCCATATACATATTTATGTGAATTGGTTTGCATGTTGATTTAGCCCAACGGTCACGCCTACCGTCGCCTGGCTGGCCGAAGCGTAGCTATTTACGTTTTCTGATCAGTTTGGCGTACGTATTACGTAATTTGCTCAACGCATTACGTGGCATACGTAATTACAGCAGTGTGTGCTTGCTGTCATACAGAAATAAACTCACACACACACACTCACGCGCACACACATACAAAAAGGCGAGCATATATTTGGGCACTGCTTCAAGGGCGTCATCCGGCAATCAACAGTACTTTGTTTCGCTTTGCTTTACATTGCCGCTTCTCTTTTTTTGTATCCTGTAAGCCAAACTAGCATGGGGTATATTTTGATACA